AAACCTGGATAATGTCACGTCAAGAATACAGCACAGCCCATGCACGTGTCATCACCGATAGCGACAATCTACACTAGCCCGTCAAAGTGAAGATTCCAGATACTTCTTTTCTTAGAAAAGAAGTATCTTAGAAAAGGCTTTTGACTGCGTCCCGCAAGATGTGCTATTCTCCATACTTGAAGATGTCAATGTCGGATCGGTGATTACCGAGGGAATAGTTTTGGCGTATAATAACTCTACTACACGACTAATTATTAACAAGATCCCGGGGTCTCCCATTAGGCTGGAACGGTCTGTACGCCAGGGCTGTCCGGCAAGTCCACTGTTGTTTGCATTGTACATAGAGAGCTTATGCTTGGCCATAATAGAAAACGAGACCATCCGTGGTTTCAGACTGCTTGACGCCGAGGTAAAGGTTTTGGCATACGCTGATGATGTAGCAGTGTGTTTCACCACCAAGGAAAGTGTACAAGAGACAGTTGCCGTTGTTAAAAATTGTGGAGAAATTACAGGAAGTCGGGTTAATTGGGGAAAGTGTTTGGGGTTGTGGCACGGAGACTGGACATCAACCCTAGATACCTATGCTAACGTTCACTGGTTTAATACTCCAGTAAAATATCTATAGGCGTGCCTTTCCAGCACTACAAAGACACTAATGACTACTGGACTGAACAAATGAAAGAAACGCGCGAAAGGACAGCGCAGTGGAACGGCAACTGTCTCTCAATGTTTGCCAAAGCCACTGTATGCAGCATATTTTTAATGAGCAAATTATGCTATATGATGCAGGTTTTGTGTTGGTCACGGGTGCATGGGCAAAAGCTGCATAGGATATTTGCTGTGTTTATATGGGGGACTACTTGGGAAAAATATAGTAGGACGAATCTGTTCCGAAGAGTAAACAGGGGGGACTAAGCCTGTCGCATCTGTTCGTGCGACAACTAGTTAATCGTTTTATTTTCTTTCGAGATGTTCAACACCCCTTCTTAAGAACGGTATGCCAGTTACGCCTTTGTCGTGTTCTGCCTAACTTTGTGGCTAGCACCGCAAGCATGCCCGGAGCTACGCGAGGTTTCTTTAAGGAAGTTGCGGACAGTGTCCGGTTCTTGTCAGTTCGGTTTTCCAATGAATACCTTTTTTTTCGGTCGTGCGAAAGAAATTGCATAAAAACATATGCGACATGATTTTTCCATTTCCTATGTATAGGTTAATTAATAGCGTGGGAGAAGGCAATGATGTTCTTAAGCGTGTTTAGAAAATGCAAATTCAGCCTAGTGCAAAAAGCTTTTTTTTAAAATTACACTCCGGAACGCTACCGGTTAAGAATTTTCTAGAAGATAAAGGAGTTTATATGCCATGGGGTTCGAACTGTTTGATCTGCCGAATGCCGGAGACAATTTAATACATCACGTTTTTTTTTTTTTGCATTGTTGGGAAGGGGTTTACTTCTGGGATGTTTTACAGAGACCTCTAAAAAAGGAACTTCCCTTACATTCACTGGGTATCAGGTTTTCAACAGTAGACAAACAGGAGGGACTGCCTTTTGATCTTATAATGCTGCTTGGCCTCCATTGTCTATGGCGGGCAAGAATGGCCGGTTACTGCGGTGACCCTGACAGGCGTCCGGCGCGCGTGCTTTTCCGCGAAAGCATTGCTCAGTACATTGATATACTCAAACAACAAGATTTTGTTCCGGAATGGCTCTCCAGCGTTGAACCTCTGGTGAACCTGAAGGAATTTTAGCACTGTAACCACTAATAGTTCCGCGACTGTTTTGTCATCGCTTCTGTTGTGTATGTTATTGTTTACAGTGACTTATATTGATGTGTGTACCTAGTGCAAAACCGGTAATAAAAAAAAACACTTAAAAATAGTTGACTTATTTGGTCTATGTGTTGTTCGAGTTCATGGCAGGCCACGCTTCATTGCGCGAAGTTGTCTAGTAATGAGACTTTCACTGACGAACGTTAACAATGAAGAAATATGTCAAAATGAATGAACAAAAGGTAGTACAGGTTACTGCTCTTTACGAAACCTTTGAAAGTTACTACCCATGGGTGCTAACAGCTAGGGTAGTAACAGTTACTACATGCTGGTAGCAAAAGCAAAGGTAGTAACTGTTAGCACCTTCACCGTCACTAACTGCGCTTACTACCGGGGTTGTAACATATGTGACAAATTATTACTACCCCAAAGAGTACAACTACCTTTTTTTTTTTTTAAGAGTGTCCGGTACGGTACGAAGAACTTAACCCTTATAGCGAAACCACGGGGCGCTCCCCCGTGTGGACTGAGATACACGGATGAACCAACCACACCGAAACTGCAGGTTCAGAAGACGCTCTTTCCCTGTGCTCATTCGTTCTTCTTGTGCCGTTTTAGGCATCTAGAATTTTCCCTCATCATGACGAGAAGTCACTGAGAGGAAAAAAAAGTGACTTTCTGTGAGATTTTGTTGTTTCAGCGTCAAATGAACCATGATATATTAATTATGTCTATATTAACCGTGATATATGAACCAACCACGATATAGATCATGGTTGGTCAGTGCCGTGCTCTGGCGTAGAGAGGGCTTTTTCGCTGTTAGTGTTGACCCCCCCCCCCCCCCCCCCACAACCCTCACCACACTGGAAATGTTCAAAATAGGTGCACTAACAAAAAAGCGTGTACGAACATGCACAAAATACTGTTGACCCCCCAAAAATTTAGTGAGAATGAATTCGGATCAGTTGCACGACTTAAAATTGGCGGTTCTTTCGGAAATTAAGTGACGAGAGCTCATGAAGTGGCGCACTTGCGGACTTTTTTAAAGAGTATTACAGTGAAGTGGCACCTTTTTAGCATTTTTTCAAAAGCCTCCTTGCGCTCTCTCCACCCGGTACCCACCCTAACGCCTTCGTGAAGACTAGCAGCGAGATCAGGTGCATAGCCGTGTGCGTCCCGTTAAGGAGCTTTGCTCGTCGGTTGTATACTCGTCCATTTAAGGCTAGTTTTTGGACAACGACACGTCGTCACTACCTAGGCCTGTCCTCGAAAGTCCCTGGTTCACACTGGGGCACAGGCCGAGTACAGAAAGCTTCATTTGTGACTTCCGCCGGTTAATATGCAAATGATATTGTTTTATTTACATTATTCCAACGTGCGAGTGTTCTAGTGTTACTTTAATTTTAATTAAAACAGAGAACTGAACAACGTACGCTGTTGCTTGCTTGCTTGTTCCTTTCTTTTGTGGCTCTCACCCACTAAGGGGGATTGGCCAAGAAGCCGGTGGTTAATGCAAGTAAATACCTATAGATTTTCTAGATTAGGGGAATATGAATACTGTGTTTTGACTGTGAAATTAATTTGGCGCAATGTTAAAAAAAAGAAAAAAAAGAAAAAAAAGGGGGGGGGGATCCACCGCACAATTTGTATGCTTTGTCGTCGTCTTCTAATTTATAGAGCTTCAAAAGTATATTCAGTTATCCTACTTCTTCCCTTCCTCTCCTAATCATTGGCAATGGCTATTAGCCATTGCTTAAGTTGTCATCATTATTATTCTGATTATCATAAGTACTTCTCGGTGGCCTCTATCTTTGGCACGCTCCGCCGCAGTGGTCTAGTGTAAGGTACTCGGCTGCTGACACGCAGGTCGCGGGTTCGAATTCCGGCTGCGGCGGCTGCATTTGAGGCGGAAATGTTGTAGGCCCGTGTGCTCAGATTTGGGTGCACGTTAAAGAACGCCTGGTGGTTGAAATTTCCGGAGCCCTGCACTACGGCGTCTCTCATAATCACATGGTGGTTTTGGGACGTTTAACCCTACATATCTATCGATCGATCTTTGGCACGGCGACAAGGTAATTTGACTTTTGCAGGATTTTCTTACACAATCAGTGGGGCTTAGGCTATATAATCAAAATTCACGGCTTCTTTTCATTTGCTTACCGAATCTAGTGTATAAAGCGATCGCTCCTAATCGAATTCAGTGGCAATCTCCCTCGTCTACAAGCAGATAAAGGGGGAAACTCTCACCTGTATTTGCTATAGCGATAAAAAAAACGGTGTAAACAGGATATCTTGCGTAATCGAAATTTGTTCTATTATTCTCTCATATTTTTCCTTTCTTGGAGACGCTCCATGTGTGGCTGCCCACGCGCTCCGTACGAGGAAGAATCAACGCGTATGTCGTTTCGAGGACGCGAACTTCACCTCTATGAGCACACATTTGCCTCATGGCTAATGAATCAATTGTTCTTGTCGGGGAGCTTTTCTTTTTTTTTTATCTTCTTCTAGTTGGGCATCAAGCCAGAAACGTACACAGAGCCGTCTCCTAGACGATTTCGCGAGCGTATCATCATCGCCGTATTTGAGAGCTAGAAAGGCTGGATTCCCCATCAAGGAAGAAGTTTCAAATGCCGCCGGCGTAACGCGTTCCCAAAGGTAGTCGCATTTTGTTATTCTACATTGTCCTTCTTTTGTTCTTCAAATGCCGCCGTCCTCCGAGATTGCGAGATTGTCAGAGACGTGTAAGCAGCATACTCCGTAGTCGTTTACTGTTACTATGGTATTTCACAGCGTATACTTGCTGTTTTAAGCAACACAAGGCTTCGTGGTTTTTATTGGCACATAGCGGGCAAGTATGAAACTACAATTACCAGTTTACGAAGACCGAATCCTCACACACACAAAAAAAGAACTATTTATGAGCGTTGCCGCTTTCTTAGCTGTTTAAATTTTGCGCCTCTTCTCAACGCGGTTGCATACGTGGCGCATTCTGATGGCTGATTCGCGAACTCACAAAATATGACGCCGCAGCAGGCACAGATCGAGTTTACAACAGGACCTGATGATAAAAAAAACGCGAGCAAAGGCCTCGCGCGCGAGGACAATAACACGGCTGCAGAATGGGCCCTACGCCCATTGTGTTTGTTTATCTTTTTTTATCATGCGTGATCCGATTTCGCTCAATGCTACGTAAATGGCGGTTTACAACCATGTGTGTTGTTTTGGGTTGCCGTTGGACCTAAAATGGCGTCCGTAGATGTGTATTGTGTTTGTGGCCAGCCGTACGACCCAAATTTATTTATGATACAGTGCGATGTTTGCAAGGATTGGTTTCACGGAAAGTGAGTAGACTCGGCCCGATCGCTGCGCTCGTTTATCGCTCGTTGGCGCCAATAATTTTGCCCGCGATCGCGCCTGTGCCAAGAGCGCGTCGCGGTGGGCTCGTTTTGGTTTCCGATCTCGCCTGCATGACATTCGTTGATACGTTGCTAACAGCTTGCCCGCCGAGTCGCCCGCCCTCGAAGCAGACGTTCTAGGGATGGTGGATGGTTTTGCGACCCACTTCAGCGTGGATCGCAGCTTCTTTCGTTCGTGCTTGCGTCGCGTGCCGACTTGTCTCCCCATCAGCTGGTTAGACTCCCGTTTCCCGAACGCAACAATTTTTATTTATTTGTTTTCATAACGGGTAACGCTACACGCGCCGTCAATCGCACTTACAGCTGTCTCTTGAGCTTGCGTTTTTAATGAGAACGCACGCGCCGACTGCGTTGAAAGCCGTTCACTTCTTTTCGAGCGCGACTGTTGACGAGAAATGAAGACTGAAAAGATTTGTCGGCGCTGTTGCACCTGACGTATCGACCACGTTCTTTGAGAGCGTGCTGGCGCCCGCGAAAAGCTGTCAAAACTGGCGCGCTCGCTTGTCGAAGTCGCGAGAACACTTTTTCTCATACTAGTCGCGTTTTTTTCTTCGTTTTCAGTTGCATAGATGTGAAGGAGCATGACGCATGCGACATCATCAAGTACCACTGCCCTCAGTGCCAGTTGACCTTTGGGCCGTCAATCTGTGAGTGATGCTGCTTCTTATACACGTTGTGAGGTCGCGGCTGACTTTGGTTTAGCACAATTTACAAGTATTACGCGTTCTAATTAGAGGTGCCTGAGTACTGTCTCACCAGTTGAGCGCTTGCGTAACCCATGCATTACACACTCTCATGCGAACTCTTCTGTAAGCACCGGCTCGAACCCGCGTTTTGAACTTCTCCGAGGTTATTTTTGTCAGGAATGACGCGTCTAAAGGTAGTATTGCAGAGCCGTGTTCGAAAGTTTAGTTTGACCGCAGGATATCGACGTGACTAACAGTGTAAAGCTGCGGTAAACTATATTTTGCTTTTCTTGTGCCAATTCAACCAGTAACTAACGCATTATTTAATGCGCAGTTGTTGTAAGGGTGCAGTGGGTTTAATGCTTACATCCTCTGGTACTGTTAATAAATCTTCAGCATTTCGATCTTGTGAGAATCATCTACAGTTGTGACGTTCCGCTTCTTTCAGCAAAGGTGAAGGAAGTATTCATGTTATTGAGGTGTAATAACATCATGAGTGAACAAAATCCAGAAAATTGTTCGGCCGTCTACATAAGTTTTGTTTCAGTCAGCCTTACTTCGTTGCCCCCCAGGTTAAGGAAATGCGCGTGAAATAGGCCAAGTGCTGCTTTCTGCTCTACATAGATATTGCTTCCAAGTGCTAATTTCTCCACATTTTATTTGTGAAACTTCTGCTAACACTTCCACGGCGATGGGACATTTTCAGGGAAGCAGAGAACTAACTGGCATCGGCACGACTACTCAGACCCCAATGCAAGCGACAAGGTAATGCATTCACGTTCGGACATCATTTATTGTGGCGTAACCTTTACGATAACACGCTCATTCTATGATTACAGCCTGTGCAGACAGGTACTTATGTGTTCATAAAGGAACTGAAGTCGAGGCATTTTGAAAGGTGAGTGTCCCTCTCCCTGTCTTATTGCACAAGCAGTTGATTGTTAAACGCTTGGCTCCGAACTGGAATCGGGCCCAGTACCTCTGCGGGGCAGTCCTGTGGTCTCTCACTGAGCCATTGGCAGTACATGAAACTGTTTAAGCAAGCTCGCAATCTTTGGATAAAGCAAAGAAAGAATAAAAAAAAAAATCCTGCTTGTTTAGGTGTTCCGACAGCAATCACTATTGATTAGCTGTCCTAACACCTACTCAACTGTATTCTAGTAAATGTTTGAGCAGTTTCTAATTAATCCTTTGTAATCACTGGTGATGCTGCAAGTGTGGTGCTGTAGTATAAAAATTATCATTCCTGCTATGCCTTTCAGTGCAGCCATTGCATACGGTTTTTCGAGAGTACTTATTAACAGCTTGAATAAAAAAAAATCTGTTAAGCAAGTAATTTTGCATGCAGTACTGTCAACAGCAAAAGCTTGTGAGATGTGCAGCGCGTGGCGGAGCAGCGGAAAACTGCATTGCTGCGATGCCTACTGTGACGTACACCATGGTGTGGAGGTTATCGGCCACGGCTTCCGAGATTAGATCCAGCAGCAGTGTGTTATCTAAACGCACCATTGCTAATCACCGAAGCCGGTACAGTAGCTGCGGCACAATAGTAGGCAGCGCAGCAATGCAGTTTTCCGCCACGCGCTGCACATCTGGAAAACTTTTGCTGTTGACAGTACACAGCTGCAGTATGATTTCCTCCTATCCAGTGCTTCTTCATAAGCTGTGTACTGAGTTCAACTTGAAGGGATACTAATTACATATGCATGTATGACTCGAAATCGGAGTAGTGAGTTTTTGACAGTGATTTCTTATGGAATACCATGTTAAAGAGTACTCATTACTTGTTGCAGGAAAGCAGCTACAGCATTGTGGGCACTGATCCCAATATAGCATTATGGAGGCCTTGTCTCAAAAACCGGGGGTAGATGTCATTGGCTGTGAGTGAAAAATCGTGGTAGATGCATATAGTGAAAATGATGGCTCCGAGCTGGAATTGAACCCACAACCTCTGCGTGGCAGTCAGGTGTTTTCCCATAGAGCCATTGGCAGTGCATGAAACTGTTTAAACAAAAAGCCCTATACGAGCATTGTGTGGTGGCAAGAGTTACGTTAACGCATGTAATGTTGCAGGACAGAAGTGTAGAATCGCACCGGGCTTCAGACCATGTGAAAAGTGTGCAGTCAATAGTAGGTTTAAAGGCCCATACATTGCAAAGTGCTCAGAGATGATCAAAAGTAATAATCAGCAACAGCGTCAACAACATACATAGTTGTGTAGGTGTGTGTATTGCCCAACAGACGCATAGTGGGTACTTAGCTGATTTACAATGGTTAGGAGGCACTTCCCAACTGTACTTGCAGTAGGCGCTTATTGTTTGAGAGTTTAACTGGTGCCAATGTTACGCTCGCAGGCGTTACTTTTCTTGTGTCATAGTTGAGGTTTCCATCGAGAAGAGAAGCCTGACATATGAATGCTAAGGTGATGCAAAAGAGGTCTAAATTGCGCTATTGATTCTTCTCTTGAAAGGAATGCTCAGGCATTCTCCAATTTTTTTTTTTAGTTTGATGAATGCTAATGACAGTGAATGCTTTTTGTTGCAATGTCATTATTTACAGCAAAGTGTTTTTGTCTCAATATACAACACCTAGTTATTGTTCAGTAAAGCGATACCCAATTTAAGTGTAACAAATTTTAGGGCAAAGGTTCACATTTGGTTTGCTCAAAACTGTAAATGCCTCTTTTAATAATTAGCACAATTGGTTAAGAAGGCTGTAGCTAACATTGTATAACTAAAAAATTTTAAGATGTTATGTTTCTCGTTTTCCTTCCTAGTTCTTCAGCACAAATGAGCTAACATCGTAGATACGGAATTTAATACTGTGAGCGCTGTGAGCGCTGGCAGTTTGCTTCATTATCTTCATCTGTGTACCCAAAACCACTGTAATAATCATCATCGTTAGGCACGTGGACTGTGCTGCTTGTCTCGCACAACTATATTAAAAATCTGGCTACTGTCGTACCTGCCGTCGTCCTATAAGTGGTGGAGGTGCTGGATATGCTAACTCATTTATTCATATTTTATAGTTGCTGTCCTTTGTGTGAGACATTACATAACTACATAGTATAGGTATTACTGGTGTGTTGTTTTATTATTCTGTTGTATTACTTTCTTGTTGTACATTATTACTACCCAATTATTTCCATTTACTACTTCCCTCTGTAGTGCTCTCTGTCCTTGAGGGTGTAGTAAATAAATAAGTAAAAGAATGTGTTAACCTTCCTAATTTTGTCTTCCAGGTTAAATGCGCGTAACTCGATTTAACTCTGAGAAAGAGCACAGGACGGAGCGCTTTCCTGTGTCCTTTCTTTTTTAGTCTCTGTTCAACTTTCACATTTTCCATTATGAGTTTCCAGTCAGGTTGCTCATTTTCCTTTACGATTGGCTCTTATACTAGTTTTGGATGTTGTACAACGCGTTGCTGCAAACATTTTCAGTGCGGAGAGCATAGTGACTCGGCTGAATGGGGACCAGTTCAACTTGCAATACCTGCTGCACAGTGGGTTCACGAACCCAGTGTTGGTCACCAAGAAGGATGGCCTTGGGCTTGTTATGCCACCGGAGGACCTCACTGTCAGTGATGTCATGGATTTCATTGGTTAGTGAATTACTCGCTGCTTTCTTAAAACCAGATGTTTTTTATAGCAATGTATGCCTTAGACTTTGTCTACGCACTCTTTTGTGGCGGGGTATAACGATGATAATCGTGGATGTGTGCATGTGGGAGGGGAGGGGTCATTATCAAAGGTGGGTGCCAAGTAGGCACCACGTGTATTATTGAGTTGGACCTATCGTGATGTTGTGTCAAGTGCAGGGTTACTGCCTGCAAGTTTTCGAGAATAATGTCAGTCAAGGATCCCTGATGTCACATTACAAGAAGTGTTTTCTTCCCATCTTTACTCTTAATAGTCTTCCCCCACCTTCCCCCATTGCAAAGCTTGTTTTTGTTTTGAACTCAACCATAAGTGGCTGGGAGGGAGTGTAGGAGGAGGCACTGGGGTGAAACTTTATGCCCTCTTATGGCTTTGCGCATGCTTATAGCAATGATAGTTTTTCGTAGAATTCAGCTTCTCACAAGTGGACTTTAGCTTAGCTGTCTGTTCCCTAACCGTGTAGACCAGAAGTTCGTTAAGTATCGATTAGATGGGAGAGGACTGTTCCTGGACGTTGAAAAACAGAGATGCCAGAAGTGTGTACGTGGAAGTCGCTTGACTGGCTGGAAGTGACAAAACAAAAGTTACGTATTACCTGGCAAAGCCCTGTAATACTAGGGGGAAGCGATATCGTGGGTCAGAATGATGTGCGACTCAAACGCAGTATCGACTTTGTTCCACTTAAAGGTTTACGTGCCTACCAATTTTATGAAACAGTGGTAGCTGCTATGAGTGGACTTATATGATAGCTAGCCAATGTCAACATACTCTGTTTGTGCACTGTCGCAGGGCCGGATTTCATGCTGGATGTCATCGACGTCCGGAAGCAGGAGGATCTCAAAATGACCATGTCGGAGTGGGTTGACTACTTCAACAGCTACGATCGCTCCAAGGTGTTCAACGTCATCAGCCTCGAGTTTTCAGACACCAGGTCAGAGACCGCTCCCTCCTGCCCAGTGTTTGTTTGTGGTTATTTGCATATTTGTTGTAGAGCTCTTGGGATGCTGCCCAAGTACTTAGAAGCGTTAACCATGATTGGATGGTGTCGTTATGAGTTATAGTAATTAAAGTATTGTCTAAACAACATGCAGTCAACAAATGATACCATCAATGTTCTTGCCATAGGTGTTGGCAGGGTTTTCTCTTGGTGGGGGGGGGGGGGGGGGGCATTCTGGTTGCTAACTCATATTGCAAGTGGCAGGAAAACTGGTGTGGCACGCTGGAGTGGGTTCAAGAGTCCTCTTTGCAGACCCTGCCACAGCCACAGTTCTCATGTGTGCTTTTCTTCACATGGAGTGTAATTCATGTTCACACTGCTTACAGTGGATCAGTGCTGTGTGAAATATGGGCTACATTGTACAGACACAAAAACACATTGTAGATAAAAGCAGGCAGCAAGCATGCCTTTTCGAAGAAGTGTGTTTTATAAAAGGCAAAGGTACTGCAGAAGAGGAGCACGTGTAAGATAAATAAACATGAACCAAATCTTCATGCTGACTGGTGAAGTCGCAGTGGTGCACTTATGCTCATTTGCCAAAGCGCACACATTGCAAACAATATATTTGTTATCACATACGATTTCTGTAGTAAACTACTTTGAAAACATTGCCGCGAGGGAATGTAGGGATCATTTTACAGTGTGTAGCTCGCTCACTATTTGAACAAAAGGAGCATGGGGGGAATGCAGTTTCCTTAACGTGTGTTTTGGGTTTGAGAACGTGTGTTGGGTTTAACGTGTGTTTGAGAACGAGAACTCCTCACACGTACATCTACTTGTTTGCAGGCTGTCTGACTTTGTGAAGCCGCCGTCGCTGGTTCAACGCATCAGTTGGGTGGAGAACTGCTGGCCATCACACGTGCCCAACATCGGCGTGTACCAGCGTCCCGCCGTCATGAAGTACTGTCTCATGAGCACCGAGAACAGCTTCACCGACTTCCACATCGACTTTGGCGGCTCCTCTGTGTGGTATCACATTCTCCGAGTGAGTGTTTGCTACTGTTTAGTCGTACTGTCGAACCTCGTCATAACAAAGCGTGGGGAACATAAATTAGTTGTTATATGCCGTATTTATTGGTAACTGCAGAGATACCTGTCGACTGTAGCAAATCTGCAATCTGGCTTGAGCGAGAAATCCCAGAGACAAAGTTGCATTGTTGTAGGTTTCAAAATCAGTACAAACAGCGTGATACCGGTCTCCTTGTGGAATTTCACGCTTTCGTTCATACGTTGGCGCAAGCAGTCAAATGTGCTGAAAGGGCAACATTTCTGTTTGCCTTGGTGGATCAGTGGCTAGGGTGCTCAACCACTGACCCGAAGATCGCAAGTTCGATCCCAGCCGCGGTGGTCGCTCTAGATGGAGGCGAAATGGTTGAGGCTTGTGTACTGTGCGATGCCAGTGCACGTTAAAGAACACCAGGTGGTCAAAACTTTCAGAGCCCTCTACTACGATGTCTTTTGTAGTCGTGTCTTGGTTTTGAGACATAAACCCCCACATATTAGTTATATTTATCAAAATCTCTGCTACTTTTTAAAACAATAATAAGAGGTATTGTGTCGAATTGCCAACATTTACTTCACTTTCTATGCGACCTCTTGGGCTATGTGCCTCGTGCAAATCATATATTTCTATGTTATAGCCGATATTATGGTAGCTCTCCTGTTTTTTGTTTCGTTGCAGCAATAATTAATGTTACTGAAATGAAGTGTGACCAATGAAAGTACGTATACTGTTCGCTGTAGCCGGTAATTCACCATACCACTGTTTGTTACAAAGGGGTTCACCTGAATGTGCTTCATATTCAAAAGTTTTGATGAGTGCTGAGGGATTATGGATGACAAGATGTGTGAGAAATAGAAATGCAGCCAACAGCTGCAGAAGGTTCGATTGAGCAACGAGGTCAAAGATTTGCTGTCCTAGCACCGTATAGGCTTGCATGGCATGAGATTACAGTAGATTGCTGAAGGGTTGCCATTGTATCATAATGAACATACGTTGTCTCTGATGTTGATTAGGTTGTAATGGTTGTTGGCTTTGCTACTCTGGAGAACAGTGCGCTATGCATCCACAAAAGACGAAAAAACAGGCATCGCGGCTGTGACATCACCTCAGTCATCCGATAAATAAATGTCTGTTTGTGTTGAGCCTCCTGCTCCTGCATTATCATTGAGTACACTTATAATAAAGTTACGTCAAATTTATTAAGCACATAAAATTTCGGGTGGCTCTGTGAAGATTCAGTAATTCAGGGGTGCAGTGCTTCGGGTGTAAAAAAAAACACCGTTTGTTCATGCCAGTGAACTTTCATAAGTACATGATAATTTGTTTAGGTAACTATAGTTCTTAAGTATTCATTTTTTATACCTACTGTTGTAGGTTTGAAGCAGATCTAGCTGTTATGGAATGACAGCTTGTTATTTGGTGTTATTGCCTATTCGATAATGCTCTCATCCATACATAGACAACAGCTACACTTGATTTTGCCTTATATAATATTGTATATGGATACAGGTATACAACAGCTGTATCTCACCGGTACAAACCTACAGAGCTGGAACATTGAGGTTCACATTGAAGGCTTAAACTTGACTTGGGATGACGCAGTGGGCCACAGAAAAAAAAAGCATAGGTGTAATCTTAAGGTACAGGAAAAGAACAAAGTGAGTCGTGGAACAAACAGGTGTTGATAACTAGGCTGAAATTGAGTGAATAACGATCAAGCCAAAAAGTAGCCTAGTAGCTGAGGCATTTTTTTCTGCCGCCACGAGCCTGAAATAAGTAGCCAAATTGGCACAAACTAGTCATACCTGGCAACCTCATAAATAGGCATGTGCAGTGTATGTGGTGCGATGACAGGATAACCGCTGGTCATTAAGAGTGACAAACTGGATTTCAAGAGAAGGCAAGTGCGCAAGAGGTGAGGCATAGAGCCAGGTGGGTAGGGGAGATTAAGAAGGTTGCGGTGATCACGTTGCCAAAGCAAGCGCAGGATCGGGTTCATCGGTGTAACGTGGGAAAGGCCTTTGCATGCATTGGGTGTATTCAAGCTGATGATGGTGATTTTTGTACAGGGGGAGAAGATATTCTACCTCATACGGCCCACCCAAACCAACCTGAGTCTCTACGAGCACTTCATGGCCTCGGCCAATCAGAGTGAGACTTTCTTCGGGGACCAGGCGGACGCCTGCTACCGGCTCACTCTCACTGCCGGGCAGACGCTCTTCATCCCGACCGGTTGGATACACGCGGTCTACACATCCGTCGACTCCATGGTCTTTGGGGGAAACTTTCTGCACAGCTTCAACATCGGCCTTCAGCTACAGTGCGTATCGTCATGTTGTCTGATCATATATCAACAGCGGAGCTGTTTAAGCTTGTCATTGACCCATGCGGTGTTTGCAAGTACATGGCCTGGCATAGCCTAGGTAGCCTAAGTCGAGATAAGTTAAGTCTGGCTAATTCAAGCTAAACTTGATTGACACTTGTTCAGGTCTACACACCGACTTCACGGTCTTGGGCAAGCTGTCTGCACAGCTTCAACATCGACCTTCAGCTACAGTACGTTTAATTATGTTGTCTGATCATTAGCTCGCCATGGGACCATGTAGTGTTTGCGAAAACATGGCCTGATAGGCTAAGTTGAGATTAGTTAAGCCTGACTAATTCAAGCTGAAGTTGATTGAGACTAGTTAAGCTTAGTCTAGCAATAGATACGATGTGATAGCTAATAGGTAACTAATCAATAGCTGATTGGTAACCGATCAGTTATCAATCATTTCTAGAAAATGCTTAATAGAGCTTAGCCTAGCCCAAAATGCACTTTGTAATGGCCAGTCGATAGCTAATCGATCACTAAGCAATAAATTCTGGAAAAATGCTTGGAGGAGCTTGGTCTATCACAAAGAGCAACGCCATTACTGTGTAATGAACCATGGATATCCATTTGATAGTTCATTCATAAACAATCAATAACCAATAAATTCTAGGTAACTGTTGATTTGCTTACCTGGAGCCAAAAATGCACCAGCTAGGTGCTGGTCAGCTCCTCTAATTCTGCACTCTTGCACAACTAGTTCAATGTCTGCAGATTTTTTTTTCCTGAGATGCTGTATGTAATAACTCGGCCATCCGTAATAAGCAATTACCTACTCAACAAATAATTGCCATCATCATGAATAGCGTTTACATCTAAGTTTTTAAAAAAGTGGCCTTGGCTACCCAGACGGAAGTCAAAACGACAGCTTGAGAACTGGGCGTCTTGGTTGATGCGAGTGTGACCCTGAGGTTAATAAGGAATATGAACATCATAACTCCGTGAACAGTTATACTCTTGCCTCACTGGCACAGAAAATGGTATCGACATCCTAATATCCTAATGCTTCAAAATTTAAAGCCATTTGTGCAGTGCCATATAGCAAGAAAATGGCATTCACGTAGATGTCATTTCCCACCTAATGGCTTTGCTAGAACATCATTTACTGAGAAGTGTGTCCTCTCCACGCCAAAGCTTGCTCAGTGCCGTACACATAAGACGTTTAAAATAGCATCCATCATGCCCAAAATATTTTATACGCGACATTTAACAGAAAAGCTGTCATTTACCTGTTTCACCGCTAAGAAATTCACTTGGGAATTTTAACGATCACGACATGACAGGCGCCATGTCGAATTCGAGGCTTCGGATTCAACGTGCAATGGCCGAAGTTGTGGTCAGTCGAAATGTTGTAAAAGACAAAAAACAAACTCAAGCTAACGGAATATAATAGCTTCCTATTACATTTCACTATTACTGAAAGTAGCTTAGAGTTGTTAAAATGTATGTTTATATACGAGGAGCTTTTTTTTGAAAAGGGAGAAATCGAAAACCGGAACTAGCTAAATAAGGCTGTGTTCGCACATACTACACACTTTCACCGTTTTCTAAAAGAGAAAATAAACTACTACTTATTATCATTATTTTATTAGTGATGTTTTTACTGGAAAGTTGAGAGTATGTATGTGCCTGTAGCCTTATTTGAGCTAGTTCCGGTTTTGCATCTGGCCCATTTCGAAAAAAAGCTCCTCATAGTATTTTTACTCTGAAATCGCGCACTTCAATAGTTGCACTTATTGACATCGTCAGGTCAAATGCCATTTAGTGGAGACGTGAGGCAGCTCGGCTGAAAGTAATGTTATTCAGGAGCCTAAACTGTCTAAGTCGATTTTTTTTTTGCCAAATACAATACAAAAGTTCTTTATTTTTTGGCTGAAATAAATTTTTCTGATGGTGCTACTTTAAGGGGTACTGGCACGGAATTTTTCACTTATCGTTTATTTGCGTCAAATGATAGGCCAAGCCCCCGAGAGCATGGGAAGTGTACCGGTAAGCATAAGTGTTCTCTGAAAAATTAATTAGACCATGCTTTTAAAAGCTAGTTTCAGTTCCTACTGTACCGTTACATCCCGACATGGTATGAGCTGCGCCACCATGCGGGTAGTATGTGCACACGGGTTATACCATGTCAATTGCCCCAGACATTTTGGTGACCATCCCAAATGTATTCGAAAAAAATTCTGCTGATTTACTTCATTGAAAGCAGTGAACTGCTAGAATATTTCTCAGAGAAAATTTTTTTGGTCACATGGCTGCCTTCTGAACTTCCTGGAATGTCGTTCTGGTGTTGTTTGTGGAAAAATTTATTGTAAAAGTACTGCTCCTCATTTATGTACCAAATTTGGTCTACATCTTAAGTAAAGGTTGTCGTGTAAGGTGTCTGAAGCCTAGTAACATTTGTGAAGTTTTAACTGGCACAGACACTTCCAAAAATTTAGCCAAAATATATTATGTTTGCGTTTTTTCTAATGCAATACTGCACTTTGTATGAATGTCTGAGTAGTAAATTCTTATTCCACAAAAGGTATATGTTAAGGAAAAAATATTTGAATACCTCTCAAGCTGCTAAAGTTGACGTGAAAAAATAACAAATTTCGTGAAATTGTCACTTTTGTCCATATTGAGATGCAATTTCTGCCATGTGGTGGTCCAATTAAAAATCACCTTTATACCTAAATCAAAACCAAATAAGCAGTTATTTTTATATGACAATTCTTATTATTACATTTTTTGTTTTAAGGACGAAAATAATTTTTGAACTTTCCCATTGGCGCCTATCTTCTCATTTGGTCATACGACAGCTGCCGCCTGGAAATTTCTCATTGGCGTCCATGGAAAAGTTCAAAAATTATTTTTTCTCTTAAAACAAGAAATGTAATGATAAGATTTGCCAAAAAAAAGGAACTGTTTATTTGCTTTTGATTTAGGTATAAAGGTGAGTTTTAATTGGACCATCACATCGTGTAAATTGAGTCTAAATATGAACAAAAATAACAATTTTGCCAATTTTGTGATTTTTTTCGTAAAGTATGGCAGCTTCAGAGGTCTAGAAATATTTTTTCCTGAAAATATACCTTTTGTGGAGTAAGTATTTACTGCTTATATATTCATACAAAGCGCAGTATTGCAATAGAAAAAATGCAGACATAATACACTTTTGCTAAATTCTTGGAGGCGTCTGTGCCAGTAAAATTGCAATAATGTTACTGACCTTCAAAAACCTTACACAAGAATTTTTACTTAACATGTAGATCAAATTTGGTACAGAAAGAAGGAGCGGTGCTTTTAAAATAAAAAGGAGTGGTGCTTTTAAAATAAATTCTTCTACAAATAACACCCAAACAACATTTAGGGAAGTTCAGAAGGCAGCCACGTGACCAAAAAATTTTTTTCTGTCAGAAATATTCTACCATTTTACTGTTTTCAATGCAGTGAATCAGTATCCTCATCCGCGCCTTGCTTCTTCGATTTTTGCTTCAACTGCTGCGCGCCGCACATGTGGCAACAGTTGCGGCATGGAGGCACAACATTGGAATGGCATCACTTTAAGATGCAAGTTCTTCGTCGAAAATCCAAAGTCGGTCAGCAACTGCATGTTGCGCGTGTACACATCCTGAGTAAAGTGCAGTGATACAGTAAATTCCACTTTGTTGGCGTCCAGTCTCCGCCTCGGCCGCGGTGCACGAAGTCAATCAACGCTGGCCTCTGTGCCAGATCGGACGGGAATCGATGGAACTTGCACTTATTGTCACTGGTGCAAGACTTCACAGGGCAAAATATTGGTGCCATGACGACAAATTTGAGATCGCACGATTCCTTTTCCCTCTGATAAGCGTATATGGTTAATCTGCGGGCACATACACTATTCTAGGCTCTGCTAGCTCGCTTCACAGGTACGCTAGATAACAAGGACCGCATGACCGCACGGCGCGAGTAGACGATCGAGAAGGCAACGCGCAAGATCCCGTTTTTGTGTTTTGTACTTGATGTCATCACAAATAGCCAGACTTCTGCGTGAAGTCACCAGGACTAGTGCTGTAGCCTTACGTCAAGTTAGTGATAATGTCAATCGGTGCGCCACGAGAAAATTCACTTTAATATCAAATAAAATATCTTATTAGCATTTGCTGAGTGTCACACTTGCTCAGAACCGTCTATGTATACAGGAGATTTGTATGGCAGAGTAAACTCTCCTCCGAAAAAAGGTATCAGTACCCTTTAAGAAAAAAAATTGTCTCAAATTATTTTGCGTGGACCGTAAAGTGACAAAAAATTATTTTTGTTGTAACATTCGTGTGGTTTATTCACAGTAACATCAAGCGAAATCCCCCTCTCTCCCTCCCCATAAACACTCATAAGGTTTTTTTATAAAGAAAATTATGCGTTGTATCAAACAAAGCTGACAGCCCCGCCGCGGTGGTCTAGTGGCTAAGGTACTCGGCTGCTGACCCGCAGGGCGCGGGTTCGAATTCCGGCTGCGGCGGCTGCATTTCCGATGGAGGCGGAAATGTTGTAGGCCCGTGTGCTCAGATTTGTGTGCACGTTAAAGAACCCCAGGTGGTCTAAATTTCCGGAGCCCTCCACTACGGCGTCTCTCATAATCATATAGTGGTTTTGGGACGTTAAACCCTACATATCTATCAAACAAAGCTGACAGACATTTAAAGATAAGCACATCAGGGCACGTTTCTTGTAAAAAAGGTTCTTGCTTTAACACTAAGTGCTAAGGAATACCTAGTCACCTTTGATTTGATCCAGATCGTTTCGCTGCACACTCTTTTGAAATGTCGCTCCTTCATCATCATCTGAGTCTCAACTTTTAATTAATAAATCCTTGTCGAATGAACTGACATACAGTGAATCAAATTCTGATTCGGCACTAGGTAAATAGTCCAGATCAGAAGAATCGCCGCTTGACTCCCTAGCACCACAGCAACTGGCACACACTTCTGTTGTGTAAGCGAACTGTGTGAGTGAGCGCACGGAAGAAAACTGTGTGGTTGTGCACCTATCCGGAAGGCAAAACGAATGAAAAAGCTATAATACCGTATCTACTCACATAATGAACCCACCTTTTTTTTCACGAAAGTATGACGCCAATTTGGAGGGGGAGGGGTGCTTATTATGCGAGAAAAAAAAAAAGTCACGGGAGTTATAGCAGTGAAAGTGTCACATGACGGTTTTGTCTTTTTTGACACGTGAAATGCGTGAAGAATCTTCTTGCAGCCTGAAGCTCTTCCGATCGACGCCAAAGTGTCGTCCAGCCGCTCGGTTCCCATGCCCTAAACTTTAACAAACTTTAATACTAAAATCAGCTGTGTAACGAGCGTACAGGCCCTAAGCGCGTTGTGCAGCAGGTGTGTGTGCGTCTGCCCCCCCCCCCCCCCTCCTGCCACCAAATAAGTTCACTACGACAAACCCGACAACATAAACGCAGCTTCGGATGCCGGCGCACAAAAATTTCGAGCGATGCACTGTTGGCACGATGGGCTCGGTAGCGCTTTGCATGGCCTCCAAAACGGCAGGCACCTGGCGTGTTTCTACGATGCGCGACCCTTATCTCAGAGGCCATGCACTTTGTTTTCTGCTTTGTTCTCGTGCTGCTGTGCTTGTGTAGAGATTTCTCCTGCATTCAACAGATGATGCTCTGCTGCAAAAAGCACTACTTTAAAATTTTGATTGACGTTGTCCGCATTCGCGCTGCTTGCAATCGTTTAGCATGGTTGCAAAACTATGCTTTGATTTTTATTGTGTTGTTATTTTGTGATATAATGGCTTGATTTAACATTATTTAACTTATCGATCGTCAAAGGCACTTGCTGTCCCACCGAAATAAAATGAATAGATAAATTCTTTTAAATGTTTTTTTCTTTTTTCAAGGACCACTATGCGAGTAAATACGGTAACCTTTTGTCTAATAACCAACGAGACGAAGTTAGTTTTTTCACAATCTCCAAAACAGGAAACGCAACCGGGGCGGCGGCAGTGTTTGTGTAATTTAGCACTGCGTGAAAACGGATGTAATCGCACTCCCAGAAACAATTAGAAAACCACAAGTGGTCACCCTTTCCGAGATTAGAAACCATGCAACCATCAGCCTTGTGAGTGCGTGAAGGGATAAGCACTGAAGGACAAAGCCAAAACCAGCCATGCTGCGCAGATGAGTTCGAATGCACAAGCGAAAGGCACCGTGCAGGTTGATAGCACATGCCAAGCAAGGGAAATAATATCGAAAACGGCATGCGTTTCAAACATGCAGGCGATGCCGTACATACACGGCGAGAACCCTCAAAAGGTTAACGGCTTGATGCGATTCTTGTGCCTGTGGGGTGTGGGTGTTACCTAGTCAACAATTATCTACTAAACAGAATATTCTCGCAGGAATGTGTCACGTAGGTAAGCTGGGCATACCCCACTACTCTTGACTGGTCCCCTAAAGGCAATCAGCGAAGGAGTAAATAAGTAAATAAATAAACAGGAAAGTATAAATAATTAGTCAGCTTTTGAACAAATGCATAAATAAATCAATATGAAATACATAAATAACCTGTATGTCGCAATTACGTCCCTCACAAAGCCAGGTGGAAATTTTAAAAGGTGTATGTATGCTGAATTCAAGAATCGTAAGTGCTCAAGTAAAGTAATGAAAATAAATAAACCAGCACACTACACAACTTGCCTGGTCAACCGTCTTCACAAGGTGGAATGGCTCATAAATTTTTTCGCTTGATCTTTTGTAAGCTTCATTTTCTTTTTCGGCCACCCTGCACGCAATGGGTTAGTGCTCCCACCACAGGTTGCCAATTCTTTTGAGGCTGCACGATTAGTGGCCATGTTTTCCGTGTAATTTTTGATGGCATGACTTCTAAGCGCCAAACTTAAAGGGGCCCTGAAACACTTTTTCAAGTAACCATGGAATGAATTAAATGGAAGAGCTTATTGCCTCACAAATTGAACGCCGCAAAAATTTTAAGAATCCGTCCAGTACGAGTAGAGTTACAAAGATTTTTCACACGCTGCAATCGCATTCTCTCTTCTCTGGTCCCGACGTAAGTGCTGGAAGCTAAGCAGGGAGGGATGGCAGGGCCACAGAGAAACGTCACGTGCTCCATGTGACCTTGAGCACTTTTTCTCTTTTTTTTTCTTCGAATGCGCGGCTTTTTCAGTGTGTTCAGGTGTGCACGCGTGGCCAAGTAGCGGCCTCCTGCGGCGATCTCTGTAACGAGTGAGCGCGCCATGTTCAAATCAGCCAATGGCTGATAGATGGGCTTGCTACGTGTGATTTTTGTGCATATTGCGGGATTTGTCGAGAGAAAAGAAAGCAATTTATAGCTGACTTTGATAATTTATTGTGAATTCCAGGCCGCGTGCTACGCTATAATATTTGGCTTGCATGTTGTCTGGAACTTCTACTGACAGCAGCATTTTCTGACCATGCTCAAAAAGTGTTGTAGGGTCCCTTTAAGGGGAGATGCGGGTCGAAAAATGCAAGTTTTTTTTTCAAAATTACCGATTTTTTATGTTTGCCTGTTTTGATAAGATTAGTACCTCTACTGTTATGAAAAAAAAAATACAGAACGAGACTTAACTGGAAATGCTTTAAAATTGTATCTAAAGAGCACAAGGTGCCTCTTAAAAGGTCCAAAGTGTGCAGTCTTCGAGCACCTTGCCGCCGATAATGCACCGCCGCTCGCCATTGTTGATCGCATGAGTCGAAGAGTCTAGCCTCACTCTTCAAATAGCAACAGTTTCTCTCGCTGATGCAGCGCAAGAAATAATAAAAAGAAGCATTCTTCTGCACATTTTTCGAGCGCTGCCACTGGCTTATCACGTGCTACGGATCGGGGACCACCATTGGCCGCTGCACGCCTGTATGTGCTGTGAAACCTATTTGCGGGGTCCCTGTCTTGTCGAACAGCACAGCTGAACTATGCTTTTTTAATGTAATTATTTTCATTATGAATGAAAAAAGGAATTGCTCGCAAGTGAAAGCCATTGTGCGGCGTGCTCTGTAGGAATAGGCTATGAGCAGCTGGTCAGATTTGCGGCAGTTAATTTGTTGGCTTGCAAATGCCATGCGTCAAAAGTTATTCACACCCGTCAGCCGGAAAGTTCGTAATGCGGCAATGGATGACGTCAGCGCCAATCTTGCAAGTTCAAAAGAGCTCGCAGTGAGAGAACTTAGCAGGGAGGATATTGCCATTATGTATGACGGTATGCGGCACAAGCATGGCCGCAAAATGGCATGACACTGGACTTAATTTAGATTTCGCAGTCCTGTCGAACTTCTTCCTAGCTTGTAGTTGGCACAAGGCTCTGTCAGATGGAGCGGAAGATTGGCAAGCGTTTCATGGCCCTGTCTGTGAGCGCAATGTCTGTGAGGAGTCGGCTCGAAGAAGACAAGAGGGACAAACTCATGGTGCTGGCGTATTTTAGTCGCAGTGGCCACTGCAAGAAGGATTGTTCCTTTTATTGTGCAAATTTAATCAGATATAATCATATCTTTCATAAATAAAAAGGCAATTTTAACTCTAAAACTCGTTTTTCTCAAAACACAAATTTTGCCATTTTTTCCAATGTGCTTTTTTGAGCACTTCTAGCGCTCGGATCTGCAAGAAATTTTTCTCAAATTTTTCCCAAAGTATGACAAATGTAATTATCTGCTTTAAATTTCAATATTTTATTGTATAATTAAAAATTGTATGTAAACCTTTCCTAGGGTAGGTGAAAATGTGGACTTTTTATGTCTATTATTTTTCACATGTATTACACATTTTGTATGTGCTTTTCAATTAGTTATTTGCATTCTACACTTTATTTCAAACGTTATGAACTATGAGGGGTAAAAAATACGCAAGTTAAGGAATGAAAAGAGGGGGGGGGGGGGCCAAAGGGTTAATGTTTTCACTTTGTCATGTTTCAGAGCTAAAAGTGTGCAACTTGCGAGGAAACTAATTATATACTTGAAATCACCATGAAAAGTTCCATAAACAGCTCACGTTTCATTGCTCTAGGGTGAATATTTAAAAAAAAAGTGTCTGCGAGTAGCATCTCCCCTTAAACGAAATTAGCCCTTGACATCCCACTTTGTGCTTCTCAAGCATCTTAATCTTGTTGTGCATCTTGTTATCTTGTTGTGTGCAAAGAAGTGCACAGTTAGCAGGCAGAAACGGTTTAATAAAATCAGGGACTGAAATTGGCCACTGTGCATATTCTACGCTTATTCTTAGTATGTTTTGTGCGTTCTTGGAATTTACAATGAAAAAGAACGCCCGGTGTGCGCATGAGGGTGGGGGGGGGGGGGCGATATTTGCTCTATGCTTTGACATAGAAGGGGGTGGCACAGCAATGAGCCTTCGCCCCCCAACCTGATGTAGATTTCTGCACACACCTATGAACCTTAATGAATGTTACGTTTCATGCTTACATTGCTCCGTAAAGTGCACTTCGTTTCGATAAAACTGACGTCCATGATCTAACGTGATTGCGGATATTACGTCAAAGGTGCCCTTTGAATAGCAGTGTAGTTGACGTTTTTGGTAAACACACAATGTGCACACAGTTACTGCATTTATAAATGCAGGTCAATCCAGCTTGAGACACTCAGCTTCATGTACAAAAAAAAATGCAGCTATACACAACTTCTTACCAACTGCCTTGCACTGAACAGAATTACACACCGCATGGGATCTGTTGAATTTTTTTGTAACTATGTAAAACTCACAGTGGTCTCCCTTTGTTTTTCTTCTCTATCTATCAGAGTGTATGAATTAGAGAAGAGAATTGATGCCCCGCACAAGTACAAGTTCCCCTCGTTTGAGACGACCCACTGGTTTGCCGCATCGTACGTCATCGAACAGCTTAGAAGTGAGTAGCCCCTCATCTCCATTTGCTCTTTGTCGACGTCGTCTGGTTAAGCAGTATGATGCAGTGAATTGTGTGGGTTACCTTATTAAAATGTTCCGTATGCACTCCAACAGTATCCATGTGTTGTCCGTAGGATTATTGTAGAAATTTTATAGAACTTTTATAAAATACAAATATGCTCCCTAAAATTATACAAAAGTCATGCATACTCATTGGCCCTAGTGTATACACACGGACTACGTTTTGCGGCAAAATGGTAGAGAGAAAGAGGGGAGGAGGGTTCATTAACCACCCCGCGAGTGCTTTGAAGACGTTGCTGCAACGTAGCCCCTGTCTCCTCTGATGAAGGAACGAAGCTGGTACCGAAACGTCGGGTTTACGCATCTTCGCATACTTTTTGGTTGGAGTTTAGGTAGTTTCCCAGTACTCATTGGAATTGCACGTGGAACATTTCAATGGAGGTGTAATGCGTAAAGGTCAGTTGCAGACATGTACAGATTCAAACTTGTTGCATTTGCTGTTTACTTCGCATGTATTTTTCCCATTTGGTAATTACAAGTGCATAAATCATTAATAAATGCCTGATTTCGGCACTCAACTTTATCAATGGGGAATGATGTAAACAGTCCAACTATATCTTCACTATTTTTGTTGGCCATCTGTCTTTGTTTTGTTGCTACAACTGTTTTTCTTTCAAGTTCAATCGACTACTGCTGTCTGTAAGGCCGCAGGATCGAATTTCGGCTGTGATGGTCGCATCTCTGAAGATGGGAAAAATGCTTTGGGCCAAGTTACTTCAATTTAGGTGCTCATTAAAGAACCTCAGGTGGTCGAAATTTCTGAAACCGTCCCAGGGCATCGCTCATTATTATATTGTGCTTTTGAGACATTATACCCCAACAATTATTGTTATTCAATTTTAGAAATGCTTAGCCCAATTCAACACAATACCACAAGTCAAATTTTCAACTGTCCAGGCACCTCGGCAAGACATGTTACGTTGCGTAAAATTGTTTCAGGTGCAACAGCATCTGAGTTCAAACCTCCGAGCTTTCTGATTGTTGGAGCAAAGGCCTTGATGACCGCACTCAAAAACTGGACTCAAGAGGTGAGAGGCATGCTCTGTCGGAAATTCTCCTAAACTTTGGTTTAGACTTACGTTCTTTTTTTTTTCCTATTAACTCACTGGTGCTTCATAGAATCAATTGAAATACAAGCAGCCAGGTGGACTAGTTGACTCAACTGCATCTTTTTTTATAGCGTGGACGGATAAATAGGGACCGAGGAAGAGAGAGACATTACTTGAGCAATTGTGTTATGTTGTTATATGCACCTATGAACTTGTTTTCACTGTAAGTAAAGATGCTGTCGATAGAACCAACTTCCTGGAGGTCTCTTGATTCATGTCAAAGGGATGCAAATGTTTGATTCTTTTTCTTTCAGCCCAATTGTAAATTGGACGTAATTCCAAGTGGGATCAATGTACCCAAGCTTCTGAAAGATATGGCCAAGGAAGTCAGAGCAGCAGAGGTAAGTGAAGTCTAAAAAACTAAAATTAAGGAAGGATGTAAGTGTGCACCTTCCCATGGAAAGCACTAGCTTTGCCTGCTAGTGTCACACCATCGCTTGGGATTCAGTGAAATGGTGTGTCTTCGAACCAGTTTGCAGAGACGGCTTTTGATTTGGAAGTACGACTTCTTGAGCTCCAGCCTTAAGTACTCACTTGCAAACGTATCCGGCAGAATGCATATGGCGAAGTTAGCCAACATGAACTGCTAAAAGAGAGTAAGGGTATTGCAGTCTCCATCGAATGCTGGACTTCTTTTGTGCTCCTCTTAAGGTGACGATGGGAAGGCATCAGTTGTCTTAGATCTCATTAATATTGTGTCTAACAAAGAAATTGAGCCCTTAAATGTACCTTCTTCCTTTCATTTTGGGAATACTATTTTGTGCCTCTTGTCACTCGTGGCTTTCACTTCGATGGGCCAACTATTCTTTCCGACTCTTTTTTTCATGTGCAGAAGAAACTGAGTGGCAAGGTCAAGGCCGAGAAAGAGACCAAGAAGGGCAAACAGGGAGCCGCAAAAGGGGCCAAGGCGGTGGCTGCTGCTGCCGTTGCCAACGTGCAGGAAAATGTGACGCCACCCGTACGAGACACTGGTGGGGCTGCCCCACAGGGCATAAATATCAAGGTTAAGCTGCCCGTGAAGGCCAAAGGAAAGGCAAAAGGCAAAGGCACCGGCGGCCTCAAGGCCAGGGCAGCAACAGCCGCGAAAAAGGCACAAAGGTAAGAGCGTAAAAGAAAAAAAGTAAATACAGTCAGACCTCGTTATAATAAAGTTGAAGGGGGAGTCGTAATTACTTCGTTATAACTATTAGTTTTTATAGCCAATATTCATTTCTACTGGCAATTAGCCAGCAAGAAAGAATGTACTCACTAACGAATGTCACAGCAGCCCGCCGCGCAGAGAAAAATAGCTGTCGAAAGGCGGAAAAATAGCAAATAATGAAGATCAATGTACTTTATTTTAGCCAAATTCAACACACCAGCTGGCAGATCACTTCAAAGAAAAATAGTCCTTTATAGACTTTTGTTGACTCTTCCTCACGCGAATGACTGCTTTTTCAGCTGCAGCAGCTATTTCAAGTCCATCCTCGACAACATCGTAAGCACGAAGAAAGTGGCACAGCATGTCTGTCGCATCCAGCGTTTGCACGGGCGGCAATACGTCGGGTACACCAACATTGGGCTCCGGGTTATTGACACATTTGTCACTGTCGTAATTCACAACCGTCACCGCGGGCACTATTTCCGCATGTGACAACTCTTCGGCAGTCAGGCACAATGCTGGGGTCAAGGAGAGCGTCCCGTGATGTCTAGGGCTGGTCGCCAGCATCGACATCACCAATATCTTTGGCCACTTTTTTTTTTTTTGATACCAAATTCAAGAGTTTTCAACATTGCCGACTTCCGCTCGATTATTATATTTTTGCGCTTACATTTGTCGTTGCCATTGTCCATCTCATGTCTAGCGGTAGAAACAGATGAAACTTATAAAGGTAGTGTTGCTCTTCTGCAGCTAACGACAAAAAAAAAAAAGCCGCAATCTCCGCTGTCTCAGCGCGGAGCTGAAGGGGAGAAGGAGGTCAGATGCGCGGGCGGGTCAACGATTTCTACAGGAGAAGGGAGGCCAGCTGACGCGCAAGCTCACGCGAGTTTTGCGTGGGCGAGTCCATTATTTCCTGAGGAAAGGGGAGACAGGGAGACTCGCTCCCATATGCATGTTGGCAGGCGGCTCCTGGGGAGTGCAAGGCTTGAGTTTCGCATTGCCACCGCCGTAATAAGACATAAACCATCGCGTGGTATAAAATATTGAATTGACGTATACCAAAATGATCAGTAACTTTTCATTGTAGACAAAAAATGGTTCGTTAGATCGATTGTGAAGAAATTTTTGCAATACATGAGAGTCTAGGGGAATTTCAAGGGCAATCACAATTGTTTCGTTATATTCATTAGTTCGTTATATTTCGATCCGTTATAACGAGGTTTTATTGTATTGGCTATCTAAATTTTTAACTTGTGAATCACTATCTGTTCACATATAGCCCTACCATCACGTATTGCTGTCGTGTAGCGCTGTCGTCTCGTAGCACTATCATCACACATCACCATGACTTGCATCGCCATCACCACGATTGACATTACTTGAGAAACTGTTGCCCAACATGGATGAACGGCTATGTGCTTTTCCGTTCTTCCAGGTCAACTGTAGCCTTGTTTTGAATTGTCCCGCCCCCTCCCCTCTCAGTGTGAAACAGGAGAAACCCGCCCCGGCACCGCCACCTGTGACACCGTTGCACAAGGAGTCAGTGTACGACTTCAATGACTCGGACGATGACGGCCTGGTGGTAGACGAAAATCCGCCGCCGCAGCCGCGTCGCTCGTACCAGCGGGCCGTGGCCGTCCCCGCCACGCCTGCCCTGCCGCCCATCTCCACGTTTAGCAACAACGCCTCCATGGGCAACTTTGCGGCGGCGGCAGCAGCAGCCGCAGCTGGCACCACGTCTTCCTCCGTCATGGAGTCCCCGGACACCAAGCAAGGTTCTCTCAAGCTTCGGCTTTCATGTTAGTTCATTCTTTTTTTACGGTGTTTCTCAGTTGTGTGCCTCGCGGGTCCCCTCTGTACTTGGCGACAACTTATCTTGACATTGGAGCGAAGGCTATGGAGGCAGGCTTCCCCACAATTGTGTTGCATTGCTAGTAATATGGCAGCTTGCGGCTGATTTAGGTCTTGCTTGATCTCATTGTTAATGTGTTTGAAAAACCATACTCACGAAAATGTGATTAGAAGAAACATTTCGATAGCTCAGTGTGCATTTTAGATTCGTAATAAGAGTATATTTTACTTTGAGATCTAAACAGTGTGTTTGCAAACGCAAGCTGACCCACTACATCATAGATGCCATGCTTTCTCTGAAATACAAGTGTGTTGTCTAAGAAATGGGAAGAGGAAGGCATTCTTGCAAAGAGAACAATGACTGTATTTTACGCACAACTTTCTCCAACTGTTTGATTCTCATGATACATGAAGCAGCACTTATTTTCCCTATGCAAATGATAAAATTATCAGTATACATTAGTACTATTTTTGTCACGGTAGCAGGCATGTGCTTTGGTACTGTAGGTTCCACAGTGCTGTCAAGAAAAGTTGTCGCCGAGTATAGTTCTTGAGAGAACTTTATTGGGGACCTGCGGGAACGGCTCGAGGAAACACACCGCGGACGAACAAATGTCTTGAAGAGACATCGGGTGAGACGTTTTGCAATCACATATCTTTGACAAACTTCTTCTTCACTTCAAGGAGCATTCCTGTGTGCTCAATGAAAATTGTGTGCGTCGTACTAGTATGAGAATGTACATACTCTTGAATAAGAGAACCCCACTTGTGGGTGTGCATCTTTCTTAATGCGCAGACAAATACTGTGCCTGTGGTTGAGCCTTACTGACACTACCATTGTTCAAAAGTTTAAAAAACGCAAGCAAGCACCAAGTTTTCCCCCCTCTCAGGATATTCTCCTAGTCGGCGGCGTTCAGCGCAGGATGATCTGTAGAACTGATACATTTTTTTGAAAAGTCACTGTGAATACGCTAAAGCATCTTCTCTTCACTCCGACTCTGTTGCATTACGGTGCCGTTGAAATGAAGCTGAACGTGAAAATATATAACAACATGAGAAAATGTGTTATATGTTACACGACATCGGCAACGAGAGAGAATCAGGTAGACGACGAAGATGATGAATGCGATCGCGCTCGTGTTGTTGTTGCTGTTGTTTGCCAGTCGAGTGAAATGGTAGGCGATACGTCAACTTTTTGTGGCCTCAAAACGCTGGCACTCCTTGATGATGGCATCGACCGTGTTGCAGTCCTTGCATATGAGAAGGTTGAACGCATCATCTGCAATGCCTTTCAATATGCGTGCTACTTTCTCGGTTTCTTCCATGCCATTGTCTGCTTTTCGGCAAAGGGCGAGCACGTCCTGTATGTAAGTCACGTAGGACTCTGCTGACATTTGCACACGAGATGCCAACTCCTTCTTGGCCGCTGCCTTTCTACTTGCAGACTTGCCGAAAAGGGCGCGCATCTTTTCCTTGCATGCATCCCAGCTTCCAATTTCTTCTTCGTGGTTCTCGAACCGCACTTTCGCTGTTCCTTTCAAGTAGAACAGGATGTTGGCCAACATAAGAGTTTGATCCCAGCGGTAATTCTTACTTGTACCTTCTGGCAACCATTCTTCAATGTCGACAACATCAGTGCCACAGAACGTGCCAGGATCTTTTACCTGCGGAAGGACAATAGTTGTTTTTGTAGTCGCCTCGGCAGGAGCGGTTCCCTGGTTTTCCATGATGGAAAAGTCCAAACATTGGCCACTCCGTTATATCGTGTTGTACCCCGCACCTCCACCAAATGTGATGGGGGTGAGAGAATGAATGAAATAAATATATTTAAAAAATATACAGGGAAAGTCAGAGGCAGCTGCAGCCAAGATGGAAGAACAACAGCAACAACAACATGAGCGCGATCGCATTCATCGTCTTCGTCATCTACCTGATGCTCTCTCGTTGCCGATGTCGTGTAACAATATGAAATGGGAAGGGGACTAACAGGTGCTCGTCTGATCTGTTCGGCGATTCTTATTGCAATAACGGTTATAGGGGCTTCATAGCCATACTTGTGGCATTATATCTTGGCCATACGCGGCCAGCCGACTTTGTGTTGTGAAAAAGAAAATAGAACTGTATGATGGATGTATGATGCACTTGCTACGGCATATCTGACTGCTTGTCTTTAGGGAAAATGAATGCATCAGAGTGTCTCTTGTATTGTTGCATGGTGGCTGCAATAAGAGCATGCTCTTACATGTACGGTGTTCATCGATTGAAACGGAGGGATTTAGGGCTAGGTAATGCGTATAGCTTTTTGTTTCCACTGTCTTCAAGTTTGTGTCATGTAGGCATTAATTCAATTCATGCACTTACCTTAGAGCCTACACTACCTATAGTGGCCAGATCTGTATCAACTTGACGTGGTTATCTTGCGCAATTGCACGTATCAGTCATCATATTGACACACCTCGATGGGCGCATGAAGAGGAAGAGGGAGAAGCGGTCTGGCTCACGAGCAGCTCGGTCGCCGGTTTCTGGCTCTGAGCTGTACCGATCTCAACCATTTTCCTGTAAATAAACGCGTTCCTTCGTCACAGTTGTGGTGGAAGGTGCTGGGTAAGCCAGCTACTGTCAAGCGAGACCGGAGAGCAGCCGTCTACTAACGACGGAACCGCAAGAGCACGAGCTTCGCCGCAGCCGTCGACTAGCGGGCTTGCCACCACTACCTCAAGATATGAACTTGGACGGAGACATCCAGCAGCCGGTCGCGAGGGCGCCGTCTTTCCACTACCGAGAGCCACGCACATTTACAGGAAAACCTGGCGATGACGTTGAAGAATGGCTCAGCCACTATCAACGGGTGAGCCGAGCCAATGGCTGGAATGCGGCCAGCCAGTTGTCCCACGTGGGTCTATTTCTCGATGGCAGTGCTTTAGTGTGGTTCGAGAATCACGAAGACACCTTGACAACATGGGACCAGTTTATGGAGGAGATCAAGAAGTGCTTTGGCGACCCTGCGACGAAGAAGAAACGTGCAGAGCAAATGTTGTCGCAGAGAGCTCAAGCTTGTGGTGAGACATGCAGAACCTACATTGAGGAGGTACTGAAACTGTGCAAATGTGTGGACACCAACATGACGGAAGAGGACAAGGTGGGCCACATTCTCAAAGGAATTGCGGAAGACGTCTACCACTTCCTTATCGGCAAGGAGAGTCTTGAGTCTGTGGCCGATGTGATTGGGCACTGCCGAACGTTTGAGGCCCTGAAGACTCGCCGCATCACTACGAAGTTCGGACGCCTTGCCAATGTTACGACCGTCGCCACTGTCGATGTGTGCCAAGACTCCGTGCCTACCGACCTTTCGTCAACGATTCGCCTCATTGTACGTGAGGAACTTCGTCGTCACCTTTACGCGCCCTTGAACGCCCGAGAACCACCGTGCGATACACCGTCCACAAGTATCAATGCTACGAGTTTCGAGGAGCGCAGCTATTCCAACCGCGGCCCTCAGCTAAGGGCTCCACCACCGGCGTCTTCTTATGTAGAGTCGCCTCATGCTCCCCACAGTCGTTACGGCTACAACAGCCATCCACCTCCTTTTGCGTCTCAGTGGGAACAGAGCGCCGCGTACCCTCAACATCCAGCGACGTTCCCTATGCCCCGTGAACGGCCCGTCTGCTACCAGTGCGGTGTTCGTGGACATATCGCCCGATTTTGCCCAATGCGACGTAATCCACGTTCGACATTCCCTCAGAGATCCGCGACGTTTGCACAACGAAGCCAACGGCCTGACTACACCTACTGGCCCCCCAACCCAACTGACGAGCGGCACGCCTACCAGCCGATCAACCGGAGTGATTCGCCCGGATCTGTGCGCAGCTTAACGCCGCCCACCACCCGTCCACCTCGGTCACCATCTCCACGGCGCCGGTCACGAATGTCGTCTCCGCCACCGGGAAACTAGCCAGCGCGGCCGACGGAGGTGAGGTCGCTGGACGTACCGATTTTCATCAAAGAATGCCTCCACCAGTTTCTATGCTTCAGAATAAGGTTCAGGTACTTGTTGACGACGTTCCCACGATGGCATTGATAGACACTGGCGCAAGTGTTTCCGTGATGAGTTTAGTTTTTAAGCAACGACTGGGCCGTAAGGTTATGTTTCACTGGGACAAACCTGCCACATTTCGGGCAGTGAGCGGCGCATTCTTGCGTCCTGTCGGCGTCTGCACTGCGTCTGTTAGTGTTGCCGGTAAAACGTTCAAGGCGGAATTCACAGTACTGGCTCAATCAACGCATGACGTTATACTTGGCATAGACTTTTTGCGAGAGTGTCGTGCGACCGTGGATTGTGGAGCAGGTGAGGTTCTGTTGTCTACTCTCGCCCAGCAGCCTGATTGTGAGAAAGGTAACCTCACTGTAGCTAAAGATGTACTTCTGCCAGCGTGGTCCACGGCCAGCGTACAAGTGACCACTTCGGAAACCAACTCGAGTTTGAATTCACGTGACATAGTGATTGAGCCATTGCCTGTAGCTTGTCTCAAGAAAAACATCTTTGTACCACGGTGCATTGTATCTCTCGCAGACGAGACGGCTCAATTATGGGTGATAAACAGCTCACCCGAGTCGGTTGTACTACCGGCTGGTATGCGCCTTGCCCTGTTCGAAAAGCAGAGCAGCACCTGCATTGGAGCTTTAAGCGATCTTGAAAGGGCGGGTCCGGAAACTTCTGGTATGGAAGCTGAATTTTCAAAAATGGTTAGCAAGTCCATTTCCTCACAGAAGCGCAAAGACCTGGTTGCACTGCTGGCGAGACATGCTAAAGTATTTGATTTTGCACGGACGGTGCCTAGGGCTCAGATACCGACCACGCGCGCTCGTCACAAGATCGATACTGGCTCTGCTCATCCTCTCCGACAAAAGCCCTATCGCGTGTCCGTGTCCGAACGCAAAGTTATTGCTGAACAAGTTGGCGAGATGCTAGCCACTGGTGTAATTCAAGAATCGTCAAGTCCGTGGGCTGCACCTGTTATTTTGGTAAAGAAAAAAGACGGGTCCTGGAGGTTCTGTGTTGATTATCGGCGTCTCAATTCTATAACCAAGAAGGACGTGTACCCCCTCCCCCGCATTGATGACGTAATTGACTGCCTTCATTCAGCTTCCTACTTTTCTTCGGTAGACTTGCGATCCGGGTATTGGCAGATTCCCATGGATCCAGTTGATAAAGAGAAGACGGCTTTTGTAACGCCAGACGGTCTATTTGAATTTAATGTTATGCCGTTCGGCTTGTGTAATGCTCCGGCAACATTTGAACGCTATATGGATACCGTCTTGAGAGGCCTTAAATGGGAAATTTGTTTATGTTACCTGGACGATGTGGTTATTTTTGGACGAACTTTTGAAGAACATAATCATCGCCTTGACGTTGTTCTAACATGTTTGGAGAAAGCCGCCTTGACACTGAACTCAAAAAAATGTCGTTTCGGTGAACGGCAAACACTGGTTTTAGGACACCTTGTGGACAAAGCTGGTGTTAGGCCGGACCCGCAGAAAGTGGACGCCGTCAGCAAGTTTAAGCAGCCACAGTCTATCCGCGAGCTACGAAGCTTTCTGGGCCTATGCTCTTATTTTCGCCGCTTTGTACCTAATTTTGCTGAAAAGGCCCAGCCACTGACTGACTTGCTGCGCAAGGACGTCCCTTTCCACTGGACACCAAATTGTGAGTCAGCGTTTAAGCAACTAAAGTTCGCTCTCACTTCCGGGCCAATACTATGCCACTTCGATCCCTCTGCTTCCACGGAAATCCACACCGATGCCAGTGGAGTTGGTCTCGGCGCGGTGCTTATTCAACGACACAACAATGCTGAACACGTCGTCGCCTATGCAAGCCGGTCCCTGAGCAAGGCAGAGCGTAATTATACGGTTACCGAATTGGAGTGCCTCGCCGTCGTTTTCGCCGTACACAAGTTTCGCCCCTACATCTACGGTCGTCGTTTCTCAGTCATCACCGATCATCACTCTCTTTGCTGGTTGGTGAGCCTACGTGATCCATCTGGTCGACTTGCGCGATGGGCCATACGGTTACAAGAATTTGACTTCACGGTCCGCTACAAGAGCGGTAATCGCCACGCAGACGCTGACTGCCTGTCACGGCTTCCTCTACCAACGACCGAGTGTGAAGCTGATAATTTTGACGATTTTATCACAGCTATTGACTCTCATTTTCCTGACATCGCGGCTTTCCGGACAGCACAGCACGAGGATCATTGCTTAGATCACCTGTTTGCCTCCGCGAATGACCCGGCCAGTTCAAGCTCTTTTGTAGTCCATGACGCCGTCCTTTACAAGAAGAATTATTCTGGCCAAGGCGCCCGTCTGCTTCTGGTAGTTCCACGCGCTCTACGTCCCCAAATTTTTCGGTTCTGCCATGACAACGCAACCAGTGGGCACATGGGCTTCGCCAGAACGTTTCATCGCATCCAGCAAAGGTTTTACTGGCCCAAGATGCGACGCGACACAGAAAAATACGTAGCGGGTTGCGAACAATGTCAACGTCACAAGCGTCCCACGACTACATCACCCGGACCTCTCCATCCCGTACCACCTCCTAGCTCTCCCTTCGAGATTGTTGGTGTCGACCTTCTAGGTCCGTTTCCGCGGTCAGCCAGTGCCAATCGATGGGTCATCGTGTGCGTCGACCACCTGACGCGCTACGCAGAAACTGCGGCTATACCTACTGCAACAGCCTTTCACGTGTCGCAGTTTATGCTTCGGCATATCATTCTCCGTCATGGCCCTCCACGAGTCGTCATTAGCGACCGGGGACGTCAGTTCGTCGCTGACGTCGTTGAAGAGATCCTACGCCTGTCTGCCAGCCAATTCCGCCACGCAACCCCGTATCACCCCCAGACGAATGGCCTCGTAGAGCGGACCAACAGGACGCTAACGAACATGTTGTCAATTTATGTTGATGCCAAGCACAAAAACTGGGACGAAGTACTGCCCTATATCACATACGCCTACAACACCGCGAAACACGAGACAACAGGGTACGCGCCCTTTTTCCTGCTCTACGCCCGCTCCCCTCGCAGTTGCCTCGACACCATTCTGCCTTTTACGTTAGATGTGGAAACATCGGTTGCCGAGTCACTATGCCGCGCTGAAGAAGCCCGTCGCGTCGCACGCCTTCGAACCATTGCATCTCAACAGCGCTCCAAGACCCGGTACGACGCCCACCATCACTCCGTTGCCTACACAAAGGGTGACCTGGTGTGGTTGTGGACACCTGTCCGCAAACGTGGTTTATGCCAAAAGTTTCTGGCCCACTACTCCGGACCATTTGTAGTCATTGACCGTCTCAGTGACGTCACATACGTCATCTCCGGCGTCACAAGCAATGGTCGGCGCTCTAGCAAGACACAGCTGACACACGTCGCGCGCCTCAAGCCATATCACCACCAACCTTCCTATTGACTCGCCCAGTGGGCATCGTCTGCGAACGGGGGAAATGACACACCTCGATGGGCGCATGAAGAGGAAGAGGGAGAAGCGGTCTGGCTCACGAGCAGCTCGGTCGCCGGTTTCTGGCTCTGAGCTGTACCGATCTCAACCATTTTCCTGTAAATAAACGCGTTCCTTCGTCACAATATTAAATGTTTTGATATTGCATTTAAATCTATGAGCTCTAAACATGTGTCATAACGATGACAAGAACAATTGCACATGAGCGGAGCTCCCAAATGAGTGTCTTAGCAGCATGTCTCAATAGACCTACTGAAAGACTCTCACACAAGTTTGAAAGTCGTTCTCTGATGGCTTGTACTCTAAAATTTTTGTAGGCGTGACATGAGCATGTGCTCAGAGCACTCACTCATATCACTACTGTACGTCACAATTTCAAGTAATTAGCAGCGCTGCACAATTGTTTCCTTCTGTTCATGCTTGACTCTAACCCACTGTTACTTTGCTGACATTGAAATGCTTCTCTTTTATGGGTATACTAGTACCGATCACTTAATTTGTAAAAGGCGTGTTTCCAGGGCTCTCTTTTGATGAGCTTGATCTCGCTCTGTGCAGTCAATGGCAAGTCCAAAGTGGAAAAGAAGCCTGCAGTGAACAACAAGGCTGCCGGTGCAGCCGTGGTTCCCAAGTCGGCGACCGGAGAGGACACTGCCGACGTGCCGAAGAATGGAACCATCGACGACCTTCTGCTGGCGTCCAGCATTGCCCTGGACACTGACAGCACAAGAGTCAGCCTTGAAGAAGAGTTGGGGTCAGTGCTTTCTTGTATACTCACTGTGTAATCTGTGCCGCTTCACTATACTTAAGCAAAGCTTCTACTAGTTGGACTTTCGTGATGGCAGCATAGTTTGTGAAGAAACCAGCAGCCTGCGAGTGTGCAAAATTGTGGGTGTACATAAATAGAGCCATAGAAGATGCGCCGGTCGCACAAGTGTTTGTATGCAGCCTTTTCAGAAAACTGATGCTCTATTGAGGGCTTACAGGCTGAGCAATTCACGTTTCCCCTAAAGTAGAGCCTAGTTTGAATTTAAGGATTTGCTTATTGTTCGCATTCGTAGGGGCGGTCGAGCATCGCCGTCGACACGAGACGCTATCCAGGGCATGCTGTCTATGTCGAAGAGTGCGTTCACCTTCGGTCCGTGCGATGGGGGTGGACCGATGGGCCCCACGGCGCAGGAGCTCCTCGAGGGAGGTCCGTTAAGCACAGGCCTGGCGCTAGGGTTGGCCGGAGCGCGTAGTAGGATCAATCCGACGCCCACGCACAAGCGGCCTACGCCCTTCAGCTCTGCTGCCTCCCGGATGCGATCCGGTGAGGAAGAAGATCTTGAGGAATCTCTCCTCAAGGAGTGTCATGCGGATGACGACTATGGTGAGTGGCTTGTCAGTACTGCTGACATCAGTCCTGTTGCCATCAGTGATAAATCTCTTGCCATTACTACAGTCGAACCCTTTTGTAAGAGACACTGATCTGGTGTGTTCATAAAGTTTACCTCTGACTTGACAATTATTAACCCTTTCTCTGCCAATCCTGAGATAACTCGTACAACCACACACACTCAAGCACTGCCAATCCCATGTACACTGGTTTAGCGCCTCTGAACCACTCTCCATAATTTGCGAATAATGTCTAGCAACAGGTGTTTATGTCTTATCATCTATGGACCATATAAACAAATATAACTTGCTGGAAAATTTTTGACACATAAAATGTTAGTACAACCAGATTGGTTCGCAGTTGTCAGTTTCTCAACAGTGCAGCCATAACAAGGGAGCATGCCAAGGCATGTGATTTAGTGAACGAAGAAGTCTAGGAGTTTTTGATGAATTTGAACTCAAATGAAAGTGTGTAGTATTGGCTCCTTATTGAATTAACTATTTTGTTTATTAGTTATTTGCTTGTAGATTGCTTGGAACAGGTGCAAGCTTTAATTTGAAGAGATAATGTTCAACGAATTGTTTACACAACCTGCTGAGCATCCTGCTGTATTGCAAGCACATAGTTTTTACGTAACATGCAAAAAAAAAAAAACACTGAAAAACAAATTTCTGCAGGAGGGCAGAGCAGTGCCGAAAGGGTAGGGCGACAGTGTACTGAGTATTGTTTGTTTATATTGATCAACTTTACTCTCAAAACTTTAATAATGTTACATTATAAGAGGTTAATTAATACTACATATTGGAAAAAAAATCTAGACCAAAGTTTCATATTTAAATTTCACACTGAAATCTACACACGTGACACAGATTTCAATTTGTATTTAGATGTTTTAGTAACGTTCACTCATAAAACACTTGGTATATCAAGTCTCTCGCTTCCTCAGATGATAGTGTACTTCATTTCTACCGTTTTCGAACTATGCAGGCCGTAAGAGGTGTCCTAATATATGAGATTATGGAGATCACTGTGTAAATTTTGAGGTGGTATTATCACTTTCATTTTCTTCCTGTTCATTTTTTTTCACTTGCCAAGTGTCTTTCTGCATCAAGCGTGGTGATTTTGATTTTGTGAAAGAGTAATTTACCGATTCGAAAGAAATTGTTTTTCTCTTTATAAAGTATGACATGGATGTTTCGCCACCTGTGCTAATGACATGCTCAGTATACCTACCTCTGCTTGTTTTTTTTTTTTTTTTTTTTTTGCCAGTGTATACTGAGGAAGCCACCTGCATAGGTGGCAGAATGTCTGTCACTTCGTGTGTGTTGAGTCGGAATCGACATTTAGCAGTTGCGAATTTATTCGGCTTTTGGAACATTTTACCAGGTTCAGGTGTGCTGCCTATGTATCAACAAGAGTTGCGTATGAAAAAAAAAAACTAAGAGTGGCATTCACCTGCTGAGAATTGTCTCATATTGGCACCCTTAATGTATTCCAGTATACCCTGGACTGGAAGCCTCGGATGACGAACTTCGCGTGTTCAAACCTCGAGGGCGATCCAAGCGAGATGAGGCCTGGAATCCCAAAGGTTTGAATTGCATACTTTTTAAGAGCTTTGTCGTACCATTATTCTTCTAATTGTGCCAATGTAGTGATGAAAAGTTTAGTAACCTGCCAAACTGCTAGTAACACGGCAACATGAAATAAGGCAATGACGATTGCCGCCCCAGTTTTATTCTCAAAGTTTGGTGTGCCGTGTCGTTACTGCACCGTTCTGCCCAAGACTGCATTTACACGTGTGCGAATTACCCGAGTAAATAGGGGCTTTAGCTTGTAAGTATACTTCTCTATGTTGCCGTGCTACCGGGTGCCGGATGGAATCTGCACATGTGTGTAAACCGTTACATAACAATAAACTATCCACTGGATATGATTTGCAACCCCATCTCACAAAGCCACCTTCATTTATAGGAACTCGCGGTATCCGCATTGCGGAGACTCGAGGCGCCGTAGTCAAAATAAGAGGAAGTGCGAGCGCCAATAGTGATTACATTGTTTCATCCTACGATACAGTACACCGTATTTGCTTGCACAATCTTCGCACTCGCATAATTCTCGCACCCCCCACATCACCCAACAAAAATAGGATTTCTTTTCTCCTCTAGTAATTATCGCACCCCCGAAAACTGCCGCAATAATGTCGTCTGCTCGTTCCAGCCTCTGATGATGATAGTGCACGTCATCTGGCGTCATCTCTTAAGCATCAAGCGCGCTATTATTGCACGGAGATTCAATCCAATCCAAGCCAAGCCAAAGTGGCAAGTACGCGTTGCGGCGTGTTTTGTATGTTGTGTCGGTAATCTCGTCACATTATGGAGCGATACTGAAGCTACACGGCTGCTTTCAAATTAAAAGTGATAGATCATGCACCAAACAACGGCAACAGGGCCGCCGGTATGCCCTTCAGAGTCTACGAGTTTTGTGTTCTCTACTGGTGACGGCAGCTGAAAGCCACCAAGACACGTTGGGCCTGCCGTGTGTCTAAAACTGGGATTGATGGTAAACTTTATTTTTTCGGAAGGAAACTGTGGACGATTGTGTTAAATAGTCATCAGCCCAATACTGACATTCTACACTTACCTCTTGAGGACTCCTGTTGAGTGACGAACGCTACCGCTATGCCCGCAACTCTCACAAGCCTTGCGTATAGAATTCTTACTCTCGAGTATTTGCTTGCACTTTTTGTGTCTCAAATAAATCTTGCCTTGTGTTGAACCTGTGCTTTTATTGTTGAGGTAAGTTTTAATTTGTGCTTATCAAATCTAGTTGTTAGTTGCTGGTGTGAGAATCACGATTTGTGGTTACTTCGTTTTCTTTTTCGCTCTGTACGTTTTCGTGAAAAGTTTTCCCCACGTAATTCTGGCACCCCCCAACTTTGCATCGGTTTTCCGCCAAAAAAAAAAAAAAAAGTGCTAGGGTTATGCGAGCAAATACAGTATGTATATCTCTGACTACACTTTGTAGCTCAAAGGGCCCCCAAAGCACCCAGAGGTCAAAGTTTAGTTGTGATGTCGCAGTTGTGCACAGGTATACAATGAACATGTAGCGGTCGAAATTTTTTTAAACAGTGCTGTAATAGCAGATACAAAATAGGCCCTCGCGCGTTTCGCTCTTTCTTTTACTATGCTTCCTGCGTCGGCTTATCTGTTTCCCTAGCCGAGTGTTTTTCCTCGCCATGCAAGGGGGAAGAGCGGTAAGTGTGCATACCTGCAAGCAGCCAAATAAGTATTCTGGGTGACAAGCAGACATGTTAAAGTTGAGAGAAACGCTCAAAGGATCGATTGCCATAAGGCACAAAGAAGAGGAGGGATTCTTTCTCAAAGTTCATAGGACACCCGTGGCTTGTAGCACTACCATGTTTGGGATTTTTACTCGTGATGACATTTTTGATGCGTGTTTACTTGGAATTATCAGAACTTATCAGAGGGGGTTCAGGGGCCCTTTTAACTGCCACTGTGAAATGTAGGAAGGAACATATCAGTTGTACCATTAATTGATAACAATGAAAATATTATGCATGCAATTTCTTGTCACCTCTTTTTTTTCCTGTAGCCAAACTCGCTCCCAACTGCCCAAAACCCCCACGCCCCACAAGAGAGGGAACGCAGAAAAAGTCTGTCAAGCGAACCATCGAAGACACGGCATCTAAGCTCGCCAATAAGCCTGTAAGTATTCAACTTGCATTGCCCATTTTCTTTGTTCCTTTTTTTCTCACTAATAGCCTTACCTTCATTTGTTGCTGCCATGCTAACTCGAAAATGCTTTCTTTGTATGAACACTTTCATACAGACAACGTAGGTGTTGGAGGAAAGCTACAAGTCATGTCCCATTGTGTACAGTGGCCGACTGTTTATTCAGACACTGAAAAATCAGACATCCCTGTTTATTCGGACATCTTCGCAACACCGGCACTCATCCCATTAAGTTAAAACTTGTGACGCTCTTTATAGTTTCATTTCCTTTTAAAATAATGCCAGTGGTTTCCTGCACTCTGTTTTATTTCAAAATTGTGCTAAAATGCATCTGGTTTACCATAAACTCCGAAATTTCAAAATTGTTTTCCCAAAGAGGCCATTTTGAATCTTTTTTCTTCAAAACATCTCTGATTGAAGTAAAAGATGTTGCCTACCATTCTGTGAAAAAAAAAAAAAAAAAGCAATGTTGCATTATTTTGGTTGCGAACAAGTTGTAATGTGTCACATGGGACCAAGTCAGCGTAGCAGCGGCTCCATGTTATCAACTGCAAAATCCTTTACACTCGAACCTCATAATAATCAAGGTGCATCTTACACAAAAATAAGCTTGTTATATCTGAAAATTATTACGAAGGTATATTCCTAACACTATATCTATTGCAAGACTATTCTTAATTTACTTTGTTATAACTGATATTTCGTTATACGTATCCGGTTTTGTTGTATCGAGGTTTAAGGGTATAAATTGTTCACAGTAAGTGTACGTGACTTAATCACAAAGCAGATGCTCCGAAACAAAGGCATAGCCAGGTTGCATGGTACAGCAAGCATCTTCTTGTGATTAGCTGCTGCTTGGCATACCGTGAAAACCGAAGTATAGGTCGGACCCAAATATAGGTCGACCCCCCAAACTTTGAATCTCTGAAAAACAAATTTTTAAAAATTGCAAGGTATCATGGGGCTGCATTGTGGTGACATTTCTTTTTATTTGGACACTAATCTTATGTAGTTAAATGCCAGAAGGCCACAAAGTACTGCCACTCAGATTTGTCCGAACTTGAGTCCGATGATGTCTGTTTTTCACTAGTAACACCCCAGAGTGCATCGTCCTCCTATCCATTCAATGTGATATTGATGCAGCATTCGCTAAAAGACGAAAGCACACTGCCTCACCACAGAGCCGCCGCTTCATAAATTTGTGCACCCACGATGGTGCTTCCTTGAATTGCACCCTCGTGAGCCCAGAGTTGCAGACTATCTCGAGAGCTTTCGCGGGGATGCGCTCCACAGTTACGGGTAGCGACCTTGCACGTAGCTTCCGAATGAATTCGGTGATTAGCGTTTCCAGTTCTGGGTGCACTGCAGTCCGTGAATGAAACGATGTTTTTTTTTTGGTTGCTGTAGGATGTGATGCGCTGCTTTTGGCTCCTTCAGTATCGGACGCTTTTCTCCGATGCACCGAGTTCTCGTTGTGCTGCCAGGCTGCCGCGCGCTTCGGCACACTCGATAACATTTTGCTTAAAGGCTATCGTAAACTGCTATCGAGTACCACTCATTTCTGAAGGAAACAGAAAAAAAGAAAGCAGCATACTTACAGCAAGTAACCGAGGCAAAATGGCGTTGCTAGTACACTATAGGCCTTGCTTAGTCTTGCCCAACAGTGCTGATACTGATGCTCATGATGGCAATGGACGCTTTTGACTTCAGCTGCCCATTGCTGCAAAACTACCGATTTTTTGCTGCCAATGACCGGTATATAAGATAAGAGTCGACTTTTCATTGTCTTTTGATAAAAAAGATTAGACCAATATTCCGGTTTCTACGGTAAGCACAGTGCGGCTGCTCGAGACTGTGGGCACTCACACTACAGAAGTGCTGCTTCAGCAGTGGGTGAGCTCTGCTTGCACGTGTAAACTATAGTCGGTCGCAGCCCAAGAATAAATGCAAGCTCCCCACATAGCGGTCATCGTCCCACCCAGGCAGAATTTTCATAAATGTCCCTCTAATTGCAATCGCTTATTTTCGTTACGTCAGGACCTTTCACGTATTTCAGGCATATATATGACTTGGCCGTACAGGCACGTAGTCATTTTGATAGTTTTAGGTCGAAAAATGTTACTTGGCAAATTTAATCCAAATTTCCCACTTCACTGCTCAGCCAAATGGAACATTTTTACAAAAAACGACGCACTTGTATTTCATAATATGTGTAGTATTTGCATTATCATCAAAAAAGCGGTTATGGTTAAAATGGAAATCGCCGATTCTTGCTTTGTTGCGCAGGTGCATGACAGGCGCGCTGCCGTACTTGGGGTGGAGCGGGTATTTGTTCTGAGGTTGTAACCGACTGGACACTCTGAGGACGAATGAGATGCGGATGGCATCGCTGCTGTGAAAAAGTCAACGCGTGTAATCGCCAGCGAGGGTCATATTATACCACCAAAAATTTGATTTTGCAGTAAGAGTCTCCAGTGCAGCATGCTTTCTTTTTTTTTTGCGTGTTATGCGGAAGTTTTGTGCAAAAAATGGGAGCATTTTTATTGACGATTATCTCTTCAGATAAAAAGATGTGTTCATCACAAGTAAATTGACTGCAAGCAGATTACAATTGACTAATTAACAAAATAATTAACCACCAATTTAGGATGGCAGAGTGACTAGTTATTATTGGCTCTGTGTTTAACAAGAAAAGTAGTGGCAGCGCCACACTAACTTATTTGTGGTGGTGAATTTGTGCCTTGAAAAAAATTAGTGGCAGAGCCATTAATTTCCTTCACAATCTAAATTCATCAATGGCTCCTGCGTTTCTTCAGCCGTCAAATAGCTTGCACGCATGGTACGCCAACAGACACAAATGTAGAAACATTGCTGCGCCTTTTGTCAAAAATTTCACTGCAAGTTATGTTTGTTTGTATGCTTCTTAGAAAATTGTGGACACACCTACATTATTATTGTCTTTTTACAAAAATTGTGCAAGTGGCAGTAAGGTACTTAGAGGCAAAATGTGTTTACCAAGGGTCGACTGAGTTTGTGCGTTAAGCTCTTTTCACACGACGAACCAAATCGCGATTCGAGCCTGCAGATCACGTACTATACGTCGCCACATGTCAGTTATTCCTGCCTCTCTGCTTCAGTCGGTGCGGCCCAATTCATCAAACGACAGAAGCCCAAATTGCTACTGGGCCCCGCCGCGGTGGTCTAGTGGCTAAGGTACTCGGCTGCTGACCCGCAGGGCGCGGGTTCAAATCCCGGCTGCGGCGGCTGCATTTCCGATGGAGGCGGAAATGTTGTAGGCCCTTGTGCTCAGATTTGGGTGCACGTTAAAGAACCCCAGGTGGTCTAAATTTCCGGAGCCCTCCACTACGGCGTCTCTCATAATCATATAGTGGTTTTGGGACGTTAAACCCCACATATCAATCAATCAATCAATCAAATCGCTACTGGGCTCCTCGGGAAGCAATGACAAAATCCTCGCCTACAGCGGCGATTCTCCCCAGTCGAGCGAATGCTGGCTGTGGAGGGATCCGAATTGGATAACATGTCACGTGACTGATTCGTCTGCGACCGCGTTCATCGTGTGAATAGAACTTTGGGCTGAAAGACTAATTTAACATTTTCTCTAGCAGTCCTCATGGCTGCGGATCTGTGGCCCACTTGATGATACGCTTTCAATAAATACCCATTCATGTGGGATGCAATGCAGCCTCCCAAGCGATCCTACCATCGCAAGAAGTCGCAAGTGCCATCCAAATCTAAGGAAAAGGACATTGAGGAGTTTGAACCGGGGCCGTCCACGTCCTCAGCAGCCAGCAAAAAGCCCTCCCTGCCTCCGGATGCCTTTAGGCGTGAGTTTGCCAACATTTAAAATTCCCTGTTCATTATTCCTTTTCCTGCCGTGTTTTTTGGGCCGAAAACGACGCATTGCAAATGAGAGTGTGCATTTCTGTACTGAAATGCATGCTTTGAGTGCGCTTTTAAACCTATTATTGCACCATCTGTCCTAGTGAAATAGAACTCGGCAAGATGAATCTGAGTGGTTTCAGTGAGGGGGCGACGCCTGCTCATCTTTGGTAAGAACGAAATAAAACGTCTGAGCGAACTCAGCTCGTTTTTGGTAGAGAAATGGTTAAAGAGATTGCCCAGCTGGGCAGCGAAGTTCATGATCGTGGCTGAGTGAATGTAGCAATCTGCCGCTGAGTAAGATGTCCATTAAAGAGACACTACATGAAGCAATAAAGTAGTTTTGGCTGATAAATTATATCATGAAAACTCTAGTGTTGTTAATTTCCCCCCTGTTGGTTTATGAATAGACGGGGAAATCAATGTCAGAGGGTCCTTTTTAAATTTCCGGACCAAAATTTAATGACGTTACGGGTTTTAAAGTGTTGTTTTTTTGTATTTTCACCACACTGGCTTGACGAAATTTTCTGAAATTTAGTATGTTAAATCTCTGGCTCTCTTAGAAGACAATGAACTTCACATTTGCTGATTATTGAGTGGGATTACAACTTAATAGACGTCATCAAATTCTCTTGCGTCACAACTGGTGGGGGAACTTGAAGATTGAATACCTGCATTGTATTTTTGCGCATTGTCACGCTTAGGAAGCATCTTTTCACAGCAACCATAGTGTTTTTGGTGTCATGAGAGGGTAAATTACTAACACAATAAAGCTTTTTTTTTATGTGTCCCTTTTAACCACCCTTTACCATAGCTGTAAAGTTGCTTACCAACAATGAAACTCTGCTTGGCCTTCCGGCAAGTTTATACTGTCAGAAGTCTGAAAGAAAAAAATATATTGTCACAAAAAAAATGTTTTATAACAAAATGAACATTTGCTTAAGTACAAATGCACTCTCACCAGGCTCGTACTAGTACATAATAAATTGATCAACTTAAAACTGTTTAAAGGGACCCTGAAACAATTTTAGCAATTTTGTATAAACACATTGGGGCGGTAGGCCAAGTCCCAAGGGTTATTAGAGACTGATTCGAGCTCTCTGCATAAACTGTGTAATTTATTACAATGCTTTACAGCTGCGAATTACTGCAGATCGGTGCAGATCGTTGCGACTCGGCCGAACGCATTTTCAACCACCCATTCACAGAGCAACGTGCTTTGGCCACTTGACGAGGCCAGAGCACATCACCAGCTGCTGATCTGATTGGCTGTCATAGACTGTAGAATGCGCGGAAGTAAAATCGGCTGGTAGGGTGACTGCACCTGTCAGAGCAGAAAGGAACCATTCTGTGATATTTTATCTGTAGCCAGATGGTGTGCGCGCTGCAAGGCGCACTATGTCGAAGGCGCACTATGTTATGGCCTTCGACACTGCACGCAACCTGTTGGCGTGCCATCTCGGAGGTTTAGACTGGTAAAAGTGCAAATCGTCGAGCGTGCTCATGAGAGCTCTGTGACCGCCAGCGATGCCATCGTGCGTCATGAGTTGAGGAGGTCAGGCAGAGCTGAAAGGAGGGTATGATATAATGGTTTGTAGTGGCCTTGGTACGCGGAGTGTCACTAAATTTGTGGTGCGAATGGTTTGACGAGGCTTTGGCCTAAAGGCTGACAAAACTTCAGAAGACCGTTTCAGGGTTCCTTTAATGATGTTGAATCAACCAGACTTGGTGTCATACTGAGACATATCAGAGTAATATTATGCAGTGCGACACTTATAATTAGTGGTGTCTTGCTTCCTTTCTTCAATGCCATCCCCCCCCCCTCCTCTTGGAATCATCCGGCTGTTTTCCGGACATCAGTGAAGAAGCCGAAGAAGGGCTTCGCCACTGCAAAGCAGCGTCTGGGCAAGATCCTCAAGATCCACAAGATGATCTACTGAGAAGGAGACAGGCGTCGCGTGTGTGTGTGTGCTTGCGTGTCCATATTTCTTGCGCGTGTCATCTACAGCAGATGTGAGCAGCTTCACGCTTTTTTTTTTTTTCATTTCAGAACTGTTCTCATTTGTACATATTGCTCGTTTCAACCATTACCTCATTGTCTCCTCATGCCCCAATGTCAGACGCGATCACCTCTCACTCTTCCCTACACCTCCTCTAATCTGTATTTTACTTCGCGGTGCATAGCCCTCTGGGCTTCATGGTGTAAAGCACATGCATTTCATAAGGCACATTATGCACTTCATAGAGTATTTACATAGATGCGCTATATTATATTCATAAACGTATACATAATGTGCGTATATTAAACACATATACAGATATATGTATATCATATATATATATATATTTCTCTAAAATGTCACCGTTTCGTCAAATTTTTTAGAGTTTTCATCACGAGAGGCCCATTCAAACTGAGAAGCGTGACCTGTTCAAAGTGACTCGCGAGAGGTCAGGTAATGTTGCGTGGTACGCTTTCGAGTGTCGTGATAAAGGTGATGCGTCGGCTTTGCATGCACCATGTTTTTAATCAGCGGTGGTTGTCCTGTATGCGTTTTTTGGGACAAAAGGTACGCACACTTGACGTATTGGAATGCGAAGTGTTTTGTTTGATTGCGTGTAGCAGTGGAGAGAGTGGTTGCAGTCATGTTCCGTGTATTCTGGACCTTGTAACTGCTTTATAGTGCAGCGTGATTGGAAAAAATTTTCTTGCTATTACCTTCCCTTTTTTCGTAGAATTTGACAACTACAGTATTATTTTGAATTGTTTTAATTATGGGCACTGAGGCATTTTTTGGGAACACAGACGAAAAACATCACTCGTTTCGAACGAGGCTTAGTTGAAATCGCAGTCGCGGCTGCGAAAATAAAGTTTCCTTGAAATTAAGGTTTTTCGTTGCGAGTATTCGTCCTCTGGCAATGCATTTTGCCATTGCGTATGTCGACCTATAACTGGGTGGAGAAATTTGAAACGTTCGTCTCCAAGTGGTGTACAATTTGTGATGGCATTCTTATTCTTTCTCCAAATTGAGCGATTTGGCAACTGTATCATAAGAATTATTAAGAGTTGGCATTATGTGCCAACTCTGAATAACCCTATTTGAGCATTCCCACACATGGTGGCGGTGCCACCTTTTTGCTGCCACTAATCATTGGAAGTACTATTGCTTTCTTGGCGAGTCTAGCTGTATTATAGAGTCATTTCATTGCTTGGAATATTTCATGGGAAGGGAATAAAAGAAAAAGGTACAAAGTAATGGTACCAGCGGCTTTGCCAAGAATGCCTTCTGTTTATTTCAAACCTTTTTTTTATTTGGTGTTTTGAGTGCAATCCTTGGAACTGGGACAAGACGCAGCTCCTGCTAATATTCGCCCTTTCTTTCTCACACCTCTCTTGTTTGGGCTGATCACAATCATTAGCGTCTTTGTGTTAGTCGGTAATCCGTAATAATGAAAATCCAACTACAAAATGCCTTCCTATTGTCTTGCCATCTTGGACTTCTCTTTTGATGCAGACTGATCACCAGCTTAGTCACTAACGAAACTCTGAACTCGCACGACTAAGTATAATAACGTACGGCCGTCTCAATAGATTCTGCTTTTGTTATATGGACACTAAGTGCTTATTGTCGTGCTGTCACATCGGCATTGACGACACACGTGCAACAGTGCTTAACAGGGTTATGTTTGATTACCAATTTATGCAACATTGTGTATTAGCAGACACATCATCACACTCAGCTTTGCTGAAGCCAGCGCAGAAATATTATTTTTGCGGCCAACGCTATAACATTCTTGATAAATAGCTGTGGACATTCATACCATTGAAGCTGTGGTCTAAGCAGTTTGGGTGTACACAGCTTAAACAGTACAGATATTAAAACACCCTAGAGAAATTTTTACAAAATTGTGTTCACACGACTAAAAATTGCTCCATCATACCACTGTCGCAATGTTGTCTTCTGTTAAGGTATGTCAATTATTTCATCGCAGGCGTTTTATAAAAGTCTCATGTAGGCAAAAATCGTGCCTCGAATATTGCCATTAGCTTCTTATTATTTTGTGGGATGCTGTCAGGAAAACACAGTGTCACGGTGCCATAGTGGAGTGTTCAAGTGATAGCCGCATAAATTATGCCCAGTCATTTCACCAATGTGAATGGCTTTCTGTCGGTCTGGCTCATCTAGTGCATCATAGAGGTACTACACCCATAATTCTGGCAGCAGCGTTTTTTTCCATGCTAACACTGTTACATGCATGTTGTGTATTTGTCATGCTGCTTTTTATTCTGCAAAGCAGCTGTTGTCACACCTGTGTCGTAATGCGTCACATCAACGTATTGGTAAAACCTATTGTGAGCAGCTTAAGGGCTATACTAAGTATTGCTTTTACTTTCAAAGTTCCACATTTGGACAGAACTGGCCTATTTTTTTTTATTGCGTTTCATAACAGCGTTTATCGTAAGCGTGACAGTGTCCTTCTTGCAATATGTTGTTTGAATATTTGTGGCATTTTTTACATTTCCACTTGTACTTTCGTGGGTGCATATGTGAAACCTTTTATTCTTCTGCTGTGAGCCTTCAAGCTGTTCTGAAAGTTCTGAAAAAAAATGTTGAATTTGTTTTTGTGATAGCTGAAGAGAAGTCTCGTGGTTTCTGAAGATCTGTTCTGTCATTTCGTGCTGCCAATCTGTTTTTGGATATCAGGCCGAACAACTGCAAAGGGCCTGAAAGCGTTTGCACGTTTTATATATTTTTTCCCCTAAGTGTACGTGTACTTTTTTTTTACATGTTCGTACGTGCTTCAAATCACATAATTGACCCGATATTTAATTGCATCATGAGAATAATCACATTTTTTTGTGGCTGTCCCATTGTTATTGCACACACCATATGTGTGTCCTCAAAGTTCACCTCAAACTAAACAAAACTTTCTATAATTGGGTGGGAAAAATATGCGTGAATAGATTGCACAAATCTGTGCATACCACAGCTTACACATTTCTATAGCAACAACTGAGCATCGTTGTTTGAACAAAGCAAAGCTTCATGATGATATTGCGTGCTCAGCCGCCATTGAATCGGTGGCTGTTTGCATTTCAAGGACAGTGCGGCTATCCGGAAATTCAAATGCGACTTTCCTCTGGTGCTTTACAATGGCGAAATGTTTCTCTATGAAGCTGCACATGAAGGCAAAGCTTTTGCATGATTTAATGGTTTGATACTTACATTTCTCCATCTCTTGGTGTGTGGCTTCTGCACACGTTAATATGCTAGGTTGCAGACCCTTTGGACAGGTCTTGTTTCATCATTTGTACATATTGTGGTAGTTTGAAGCTATACAGGAATCGCAGGGAGTAAAGGGTTGCAAGTACATCTTGTGCAATGCTGTGTTGATGCTTTTTAACGCTGAGCCTGTACATAATTTGCTGTACATAGCGTGTTTTAACAATAAACACCACTTTACTGTACTTTTGTGCGACTGCTGTTGTAGCCGTTTGTAATCGACAGCATCAAGTCTGTGTACCTTTTTTTAAGACAGGACAAGGGGTAAGTCTCAGTAGACCAGAGTACTAGACACATTTGACTGCATTCATTTAAATCAAAACAAAAAGTTAATTAAAATGGCTGAATTTACACCTTTGCTTTTTCGCTGTCTCACAGTCTCTCGCTACAAGAGCACATTTTATAACGAATGCCCGTAGTTTGTCAACAAAGTTTGGTGCTATATTTCCTTTTCGAATATGTAGAGGACCATTTAGTTTGCATTTGCTTTTTGCATTCTGCTTACAAAATTGCTTTTTTCCTCGCTGTGCCTGTTGTCGCTGCATGACCTTAGACTCTGTGGGGGCACGGGCCTAAGTTTTCTTACTTTTATATCTGAAAAAGAAAACCACTAGAGTTATTAAATATTTGTTGGTCCAATAGTTATCATGTGGAATGATTGCAAATAGGTTTTCTCGTATGCAGTATGCTGTTGATTCATGCAATATGGTGTGCACTTCCAAAGCAGCTAACATTGTTCCTGCCACGATGTTACTTATCACTTGGTGTTGTCCATAATAACTTCTAATCATACAGCATATGTTATCCTCATTTTGTTTGCCTATAACACGCTGTGGTTATAGTTAAACAAGCTCATCTTAGCATGTCATTTAGCACTTCGTTCAAGTATGCTGAGAGCTTCTTTATATCTTTTTTACTTCTACATAGGTAAATTTGCTGTGAATAGTATGGGAAGTCCGGTCACTGCGGTGTGATAGATCTTCCTATTCTCAATGGATTGCACAATTTCCATTAACTAGTTAGATGTTACTGGTAAGATCATTTATAACTTACAGATTTGCGCAATATGCTTGAGGTATGTGCTCTACCCTCCCCAGCACAGACTCCAAAACAGAAATAAGTCTTTGGCTGTACTGCAAGCGCTGCATATGATAAAAATTTTCACAAGCAGTGATTATGACAAAAATGAGTGTGTTTATGTGAGTCTTAACTGTTCTTTGCATGACTTGAAGTGTTAGTTCTATTGTCTATAATTCATTGCTTCATCTCACCGACTCTATGCAGTTCAGAGGAGGCCAGGGCTTGTTCTTTAGTCATTTGGTAACAAGCGCTGGTTTCGCGTTGCAGGAAAAGAAAGAGGAGGTCTTCTCAGTCTTACCCCCGTATTCTAGTACGTCTCTTCACTCAGTGCTTCACCTTCACTTGAGAAAGCCGATGTAAGCGCCCTCTCTAGGCACGGCAAGTCACTGCATATCAACGATAATGTGGTGTGATTCTCGAACAGCGCAGTATCAATGTCAGCCGAGCAGCGGTGCAGTGCTCAACTCTGTCAAGTGAAGCTTGAAAGTCGAGTCGAGGATCGTTTGTGAATACGGGGGTCATACTACTTGTCTTCAAGGCTACCAATCTGTCCATTATGTAGGGTGAAGTGGTGACTTTTCGATTGGGGCGTCCTTTTTTTCAGATGCGAAGCAGCTCTTTGACTCGTGTGTAATGTCGTATGTATATGCATCCGTACAAACGCACCACAACGAATTCCCCTCCCTGCTGGTGTTAGAGCAGTGCCTAGTAGGTCAAGCCGCAGCTGCGCGTTGATGTCGCGCTCCTTTCGCAGGTGCGCACTGACATCACTCTCTCCCTTACTCGCAACATGCTCGCTGCAGTGCCCACAGCTGCCGGCTCCTCCGCCTGCTCGCAACAGACTTTTCTCTCGCTTCACTCTTTCCACTGCCCGCAATACTTGACCGCACGTCGTGTAGAAACACTTTCGACTCGTTTATCTGCAATGGAATTCACATGAAACCCAAACCGCCTCTCACGTCTTCGCATTTCAAACAAGCATTTACTTGAGTAAGCACTACACAGAGTTTTGCTTCAAACCATTCTTCAAGCACACGCATCGACATCCGTTTCAACTGGGGCAATGACGTGCGCATCGCTGCTGCTTCGGATCCCATCAGGGTTCCCTTTGGAAGACTGTTCATAATTTTTCTTGCTCTTTTTTCTGATTTGTTGGTGGGAGATTTACACTTGCTTAGCTACTTGGAGTGTATAATGTGTAAATTTTTCTGGAAATTGTGACAGAACAGGAATAACTCCACTGTTATAGATGTACATATTTTGGTTTGTTTATTGCTTACTGCTTTGTCACAAGAGCCTTATCCACATATGACACTACAGTAAAGGGACGGATGGATGGATGAAAAAATTTATTGGGATCCTAAAGTATTCCACCCCCGTTTTATAGGGTAAGATCGCGGGTTGCTCCCTTGTAGGGACGGGGAGGCCTAGCCTCACCGCAGCATCGTGAGCCTTCTGGATCGCCTTGAGTTGTATGAGGACCGGACTCAGGAGCATTAAATGAAGGGCATTTTTGGAAAATTCTTAATTTTTACTTGTAAAGAGGGGCACCTCCAGAGCATGTGGTTAAAATCACTGCGATTGTGGCAGTCCGGACGAAGTTCTGAAATGTATGAGTAATCGCTATAGGTTACGAGGCTTGGGTATGTTCCCGTCTGAAGCATGCGAAGAAAGATTGTCTGTGGCCTAGACAACTTTTCGTGTGGCAATGGAAAGGACCTACGGCCTAATTGATAAGGCTTTGTGATCTCGTTAAAGGTAGTCAAAATGGCCCTAAAATGAAGGAAAAAAAGAAAAAAAGGTTGCCTTGCACAAGATGACATTCTTAAAACCACACGGAATCGTCTCAATAGGTGTGTGTTTAAGAACTTGCATTTAACTCACCTCACCTCCATTGTCACCACAATTTGCCAGTGAATTGATGAGTGACAGCTGTTAATAACAACACTAGCAAGCTACGCACAGTTTGTCTTTTTAAAAACTACCTCTAAAATTACGAAGGAGATATTTTAAGATATGTTTTTCTGTAAGACCTTGCCGACTGCTAGTCTGGCACAGAAGTATTTAAAAGAGGCATTTCTGAGTAAGTCTCTGAATCTTTCTGCAAGGCCTCTAACACAACATTTATATAGTATATGAAGTCAAAATATTGTATGTTTTAGTGATGAAATTGCTCTTTGGGAAACTGGGACGTGTTACAAATAGTATATTGATGCTTGTGCTAGAAGTGCTTTGATGTATGGTTTCTGGCATGACAATATAGAACCCTAATAAAAAGTGGAGATCATCCACTTCATCGAAAAATGGGGAGGGTGTAGCATTGATTAGCTAAGCCCTTTCATGCTAATAAAACTTTTAACGTCCTTCCTCCAGCTGTCTGCTTATTCTAAATGTTTGTGAAGATTACTTGAGATTTCGCTGTACTTGACTAGGTCACAGCTGTTGCTTTGCTAGCCAACTCTGTTATTGTCAAGTGTGTAGGTGTAGTGCATTTGAGTTTCAGTGTTAGAATGCATTTATCGAAGCTTTCAGTTCTTTTTGTTGTTGCATAAGCAGCGAATCTCACGCTAACTTTTTGCATGTACTGTATATGTATTGTCTTTCATATGTGGTCGATGTGCGTTAACTCATTTTTCAGGTGAAACATAAGGCAGGCTTCATGTGTATGAAGTTTGAACAAGCTGTACAATTGTGCTCAAAAATAAAGAAGGGCAGTACATTTCATATGTATAATTTAGGAACATGAGAACTAATGTGCTAAAGGATCACTTCAATTTAGGTAACTTAGCTGGGGACATACTAGGGTGCAATCACTTTCATGCATACCTCTATGTTTGTGAGAGCAAGGGTGCTGTTTCGTGTGATGTTGAAATATTGTTCATTCTAATGTAAACACTAGATTTCAAAACTGAAATTATTTTATCACACACCTTGTAAAGTGTGTTCTTATGTAGGTGGTTAGGTTATGCCGATGCCTGGTCATGTTTCATACACTATGAAATCCTGGAACGTTCATTCAGTGGAAGTAACGCTCATCATCTCCAAGGTAGTGTGCCGTAAGTAAAGTTTCTTTTAATTTTCTGTTGAAATTAGTTGGATGAGGCACAGCTAAGGGCTGCTGTTAATGCCTTCACCGTTTCGAACAAACACAGCTTGTCTTTGCTTAACTACACTCAAACCTAGATATATCCAACTCGGATATAACGAAATATTTGTTATAACGAAGCAAAATAAAAGTCTTGCAATAAATGCAGTGTTAGACATACACGTTTATAACGAACCTCCGGATATAACGAACTTATTTTTGTGAAAGATGCAACTTTGTCATCATGAGGTTTGAGTGCATTTCTATACCATTTTGGAGGGGTAGCACTTTAGACCATGCTAATCTCTCCTCGTGAGCACTCTGAAAGGTGCACGCCCATATGCGGGCTAGTTTTAAGCCCAAACTCCATACGCGCGAAAATGCACGCGACAGCGACGAGCGACGCTATGAGCGACGAAACAGGGCGTTCGCGCGACGTGTCGCGTGCTCGTTTTCGCGCGATCGCTCGGTTCTCCAGATTTGGAAACCGTCGCTCATCGCCCGGAAGTGCTGGGCTCAAGCAGCCAATAGCGAAAAACCGGAAAAGACGAAGACTACATAGGTGCACGTGACCCTGCCCGAGTCACGTATGCGCAACAAGAAATAACGCAATGTTTATTACGCATGCGCATATAAAGATGCTGCAAGGCAATAATAAACACTTTCCGTTCCATTACACAACAATATATTTTATTTTTAAATTGGAAACCGCTCGCTACGCGGCTTTTCTTGGTGCGAGTTGACGGCCTCATGCCAGCAACAGTGGAATTCGCTCGCCGAAGCCGTCGCGTGAATGGAGTTTGCCTGCGCGAGCGACTGATCGCGCGACGCCGATCTACGTCGCGTCGCTCGTCGCTGTCGCGTGCATTTTCGCGCTTATGGAGTTTGGGCTTTAGGATTGTTTCAAATAGCAACATTGACGTGGTAATTTCTTTTTTCTTCCAGGCACCGTATGACATTCCTGGGGGGGGGGGGGGGGGCAACATTTGCATTGAAAATGGTGTTAAATGTGGCGTGTGTTGTTGGTCCAAAAACCTGTTCATCGTAATAACGCTACTTTCTAAATGTCGATATTTTGCTATTTATTGACAATTAGATGCTATAGGCTTTTTCCACGAGCAGTTAATAAACTTCAGTTTGCTACTTTGACTTACTATAGGCATTAGTTATTTTTTCTTCATTAGCAAAAGTTTGTTTTAGAATTGTTCATCATCAAGATTTTAATTTAAAAATAAGAAGTTTAGTATTGCCATCACAATGGTTAATGGGTTGTGAATGACCTGGCACATTTGCTGGTGACATGATTACGTTATGAAGTGCTTACGATCAACCAACGAAGGGCGTTCGAGCAACTGCGTTCGTCGTTCAAGACTCGTACGTTAGCTGCGGGAAGTAGCGTGTGTTGCCGCTGAGTCGTTCTCTCGCAAAGGTTTAAAGGGTCGCAGAGCATAGCGCCACCTATCGTGGTCTTCTAGAACTACAGCGAGTGTGCATGTTCTTGTGCGCATGCAAACAGGAAACTTGGAAGTGTGGCGGTTTGAGGTAGTTGGTATGACATTACGGTAGTTATAGCGCGAGAACAGAACGACGTCAAAGGGACAAGAAGGAGACGAGCGCTCGTCTCCTCGACCCTTTGTCGTCGTTCTGTTCTCGCGCTATAACTACCGTCAACCAGGAAAGCCGTGCCATCGGTGCGAGTAGGCGATCGCGGCGCAAATTGGCTGCGAAAACGGCGTGGTCGCTCGAAACAAGGAAGCGCTGGCAACGAGGAAGGAAAGTGCCGCTGAAAGAGGAGGAGTGGGCAGCGTCAAAACGGCGCGCGCCGCGACAAAACGGACAAGCGCGCGCCGTGTCGCGGTGAGGAGGAAGAGGGGGCGACGACACGCGAGTCAGCTGCTGGCACGCGACACCCAAACACGTGGGCGCCGGCGAAAGCGCGCCGGTAGGGAGCCAAGCTTGGCGGCGATCTGTTGCGCACGCACAAGCCGCCGTGCGTAGCTCGGGGGCGCACCGACCCCTCCGGAGGGAGGCAAGCCGCCGTCACGTTTGGGGCGAGCGCGGAACCGCTACTACCGGCACCGCCGCTCTTGAAGGGAGACCCCTGACAAGAGAGGCCGGCGCTGGGCTACGCTAGCAACGCCACAACACGCAGGTCTGCTGAGCGCGCGCGCGCTTTTCGCGCGCACTCTGCGCTTATCGCCTCCCAGCGGTGGCTGGACGCGTCAGAGCCAACGCACGATCATCGCGGCAGCGGGCCGCTCGTCCGCCCCCCCCCCCCTCCGGAACCCCCCCTTTGCGCCGCTCCTCTCCGGTGCTGTGGTCGCGCAAATGGGAGGATCGGATCCCCTCCGAGGGATGCTGCACAGCCGGTCTTCAGCTGGGATGCCCGGGAGCGCTCGCTCTGTGCGCGCTTCTCTCCCGCTTCCCCAGTAGCCCATTTTGAAACTTCGCGCGCGCGCACCCCGGCCCCCACAACCTCCGCCGCACACTGGTAGCGCAGCCACACGGCAAAACCCAAACCCGACACTTATCGCCTATCCACCACGGATCACACGCTAGAGGTAACTGAAAACGTTCGAGATATTTGGTCAGAAACGACAAAATATTCTCATATGTGCGCCGTGCGTCTCACGCACTACAGATCCCCGCAGAGGAAGCGAACTCGTTTTTTTCCCACGGTCGCAGGAAGCACCCAGAGGTCTCTGACGACGTAATCGCAGCGTTAGTTGGCTAGGTTTAGCATCAGGGCGCCACTCGCACCGAGAAAGCTAAAGAAGACATTTCGCATTTCTTGTTTGTGTTCCGTCATCCCGAGTGCAGTGCAGTCATCATCAAATGTTTGACCGTTAGGGGGCTGTGGTGCCGTGAACTTCAGAGGTGCAGGACGTGGGATGGGGTCGCGTTTTGAGCAGTATGTTTCAAATTGTTTCGTGACAGCCTGCAGCCGCTCAGTGGTGCTCCCCCGTTGGCGCGGAAGCCCGAGAATGCCTAGTGCGCGCATGCAGCGTGCTCTGCTGTACGCGGAATCGCCTTGCGAGGTAATTTGGAAGTATTCAGTGAGTGTCTCGTAGGTCACCTCGCCGTTTTTTCTCTGCTGAATACTATGCATTCCGGATATGATACTTTTTTTTGATCCAATGAGAATGCGCCATCGTACAATCTGGGTCCAATGGGAACCCTTCATCTCGCCGGCTGGCCAATGAGATGATAGACGCTTCGTGACAAGCCTGGATCTCAATATGGCGGCGGAGTCTGCCGCTCCGACGAGGGAAAGACGGGAGCGATGCGAAGAAATCGCGATGGATGCAAAGGAGCTCCTGCCGGAGGTATGTTTACTGTTTTGGCTCTCGCGGCTGCGGCGCACCATGAACCGGGTAGGGCATTCGTGCGCGCCGCAAGTTTTGATGGTCCCGTGTAGTTTAAATAGTTATTTATTTGTTATTGAAACAGTAGGCTTAATCATCAGCAGGCGCTGTTGTGAGGGGTATTGGACGCGGCCTCGACTGGTTCGGTCGCATCGCCTGCTTTCTATCGCGAACGTTCGTTCACGCTGTGTTTGATTGTTCGAAACACGAGCAGCCACTGCCGACGATGCCACGGCTGCAACCCTGCAGTATTGTCAAAATTTGCTTGAAAAGGCGACTATAGCTGGGCGTGACGATTTGGCCCGAGAGCCGAGCCGACATGTTCCTTGACAGCAAAGTCTTCATTTACTTTTTAATTTTGCGAACCGCGCTTTCTTTGTCGCGTACACCCGCCGCCAAAATGTTACCCCACGGCCCACTCGAAATGCTCGATTCCGCCTAGAGTGCGATTTTCATAAAATGGTGTCCGCGTTCGTAGGACAGTCGTATTCCAGGTAGCTATGTTGCTAATGTCGTGTGGCGCCGAAACAAGTACCGCGTACTTCGATATAGGCGCTTAGTAACTAGTAAACGGACGTCTACTGCTTCCTTGTGCTTCCAAATAACCTTGCGCTTTTATTAATTCGCTGGCAACGTCTATTTTACTCTCTATCCTGTGTGTTTTTTCTCTTCTGTTTACCTCATGGCGAGCGCCTATGCTCAGAGTCGGCGCGGCAAAAGCCTGTTTTATGACCCCATACCATAAATTATTAAACGCAGCACTAAATCTGTGGCTCCGATTTTGCAGTTTTCGAGGCCGCGTTCTGGTACCCGTCATCCCGTAATTTGTTGGCGTTGCTGTCGAGCTTTCGCGCGGTATTTTTCTTTCCGTTTTTCGCGATCGCCATCATGCAGAAATTTTAATGGACGGTGCTGAATTACGGGTCTCCCCGCGCGGTGAAGCGTTCAAACGTTGTCGATGGTTGGATCGAACAATTCGTTGCTTCAGTAAATAAGGCAGTGTCAGCTTTGTTCCGTATTTTAAGGCTCGCGTTTTTCTGATCGTCTCTGAAATGTCTGCCTGGCGGCGTGCGCGCTGGGGAAGCAAGCGATGGCTTCTGAAAAGGTCGCGATCGTAAAGACGCGGGCCGACATATTTTTTTTTATTATTCTTCTAACCATTCTCGATAATTGCGGACTTCTCTGCGATGATCCCCTGCTTGCCGCGAGCATCGCCGCGCCAAACGTATTTGTAGCATCCTATGAAGTTCTTGATCGCGCTCAGTTGATTTTCTTTTCGCCACATTGTGGCCATACCTGTTCTTTTTTTCTTTATTACGTGTTCTCCGCCACAGTTGCAGGGTACACCCGTAGTGTGTTACGCCTTGCATTTTGTTATTTATTGGGCAACAATTATTGTTTCAATTGTGAATAAAAACATTAAGCTGGGCTTTCGTCAGCAAACCTCGGCGTCACGTTGTTGATTGACTATTATTATTACGCGTACTGCCTCAACAGGCGTGGTGGTTGGTAACAGTTGGTTGGGCCTCAAAGTTTTGGCTAAACACACTTCGGGATGTCGGCCATGAAACGGACACAAAGTTTTTGTTGGCCATTTTCTAATTAAACGCCCAACAACAACCTTACGTGCGATTGCCAAGTCTTTCTAAACCCTCCTCAGCTTGGTGGCATTTGCTGAAATTTTTTTTTTCACAAAAAGGAAAAGGAGATTTGCTCAGTTTGTCCCGTACAGTGCTGGTGCAGCTTTATTGTGTCTTGTGATTTGAGAAGTATTGGTTATTGTTTTACTCTGTGAAAAACACACCAGCACCATTTTTGATAGCGTGAAAATTCTCCTGTGACATAGTAAGAGGGTGCCAAAATACAAATCAGTTTAATGTTTTATTTTTGTTGCTCTTAGCTGAATTTACGTGATATCATGACTCAAGATACACAACTTACTTGTATGTGAGGGAGCATGTGACAGCGTATTTTAGACAACCCGTTTGTGTGTCGCAATGTTCCACGCGGATTCAGAACTCGCGCTCAAGCTTGGTACTTAAGGCAGTGGTCTGTTTCGAGCATTGTGTGATGCTGCATTTCAGTCTGACAGCCTCCTTGCAAGCAAACATGCCTTCTTCAAATGGCACTACACTGTTGGAAACCTAAGAATTTAGTACCAGCGTCACCCACGAAAGCACGGTGCACTTCGTTTCTTGTTGTTACTTGGCTGGATTTGGGTGTTATCACGATCCAGGATACACAACTCACCTATATCGTAGGAAACACCTGTGTGTCTTGCTGTGAAGTAGTAGTGAATGGTACGAAAATTTGACGAGCATTCGAGATGTCCGGCACGGATTCAGAAGCCACATGCAAGTAGGTACTTCGGCAGTGCAATGTAATGGAGAGTTGTGCTAGTTGGAATAGAGGCGTGTGATTGATGCAATGTTTGAAAAACTACAAAAGAACAGAAAGCACAGGACAAGCAGTGTGTTGCAGCCAAGAGATGTATTCCGTAAGAACAAAAATAAAACAAACAAAAAATGATGAGGGCATTCGCAGCATTTTCAATTTAATGCTGCATTTGATGTTTGCCACACAGCATGATCTGCGCTATCGTTATGTTTCGTACAAGTGGCGACACAAAGATAGGTTTTTACAGTAAACTTAATCACTTCAAACAATCAGTATTTCTTGACATTATGTGAGTGGGCAAACTTAATTGGCTGGTGCATTCATAGAAATTGTCAAGTTGGGCAGAGGTATCTAAATTGCTAGTCTCAGGCTGTTGCTGCTGCTGACTATAGGTGGAACCGAAGGTACCGGGGTGGCACAGTTGTAACTGTGCCCATGATGTGCACAGTAATTACTGACCCCAAAAGATGCTAGTGTAATCCGAGCTGTGGCGGTCACATTTTGACAGAGGCTGAATGAATACTGTGTGATGTAATTGCAATGCAGACATCTAGGCTCCGTTGATTTGGAATGTTAAAGCCTGTGAATGCAACCTACAGGTAGACCCGGTCTTTTTATTCTTGAGTTGCCACCAAGTGTCAGTTAATGGTGTTAAAAAGAGCCACCACATACTTGATGTGAACTCCGGAGCAACATCTATACACTGTCGGAAAGTGAACCAGACCACATTGTCTTTTTAAATCTGCTGCCACATTTATTTTTACAGGCTTAATGTGAAAGGTTATTTTGAACATCTCAAGATGTTTACAGTTCTGTTGTTCTCTGCATTGTTTATGCTGTATTTCGCTCTTTAGCGTTTGAAATTTTCAAGTGTCGTTCTTTCATCTCTTCTTTTTTTTTTTCTTTTTTCCTCTCGCTCTTTTTTAATTTTTCTCTGTATACTCATTTGCTCTACTCCTTCCCCTACTCCTCACCCTTCTTTCCTGTTGCTTTCCCCTACTGTACTATTTTATATAAGGCTATGCAGTGCCCCGCTAGCGTGTTAGAGCCGAATGGTTTCGGTGCTCGCTTTCGTACGTTCGAATTTCAATTCAAACTTCCACACTCGTAATTCAAAAACGAGTGCAGTTTCATTTTAATTGAAATTTTGACTGACTGTATGCGGTTGCATTTTGAGGCCAATTCGACGCATGAGCCAGGCAGTGACTTGCATGTCGAAATCCGAAAGCTGTGATCTGCATGTATACATTTATGTTATACGTTACATGACATTGCACATTTTTGTCATTCATATCCAAAACTGGCAGAGCATCATGAAGTACATTCAATCTGAATGTGTCAGATGTAAGTTGAACTTGTGCAAAAGTGGTGCAGTCATGTTTTAGCTGTTAGTGTAAAGAAAAAGTATTAACTAATTTGACACAGGCTACTATGGTTAAGATGCCATATTTTTCGGCAGTAAGAAAGTGCCTTCTAGGCACAATTGATGGGCACCCAACATTGTGAACATATGCACAATATATTTTTACACAAATACAAATAACCTACAATGAGAACGTGCACAACTTTTATCTGCAGTAGGAAAATGAACAAATTTTGTTATTTATGATTACCCAAATGTGCCGGCAGTTCAACATAACTGTTCAATTGTCTCCACAGCATGGCTCACAGAATGTGACATCTCCATGTATTTTGTAGCGTGGCTTGTGAGGTGGCCACTGTTGAATGACACACTCCTACAGGACTGTTTCGGCATGGCCGAGAAGCGCAGAGAAAGAGCAGATAACTGCTAAAGGACCAGAAGAGAGCTGAATGCCACCTGTAGGCTGGGTTGAATTGCATAAAGCCAATTTCTCCCGTGGCAGCTTAGAACACTTTAATAGAAATAGAGAGAAAAGGGTAGGCCGAAAGGTTAACCAGATATTGGCATCTAGTTTCACTGAACCAAAAGCCTCGGGCAAGTCACATGTTGCTTTCTTCCTTTTTTCCTAACTTGTTCCTGGCGAACGTCCGCAATTTAGCCTTCACCAGTCGCTTTCACAATTTCAGCGCAGCAATGTATGCTCGCTGGTACGTCCGTCTTTACTGCTTAGCGGCTGTTATCCGGCAGTTGGTTGAACTTCTGGACTAGGTTTAACGCCATAGATTTCCGAACAGTGTTTCCCGGTAACATTAAGGGTCTCGAAATTGCATCTGGAAGCTAAACTTTTGGCTCATTTTCGATGCAGGTGAAAATGCTTGAGGTTTGTGTACTGGATTTTAGGTTCATGTTAAAAAATCCCAGTTGATCGAAATTTCTGGCACCCTCCATGATGGCATTCCTTGTAATCATATTGTGGTTTTGGGATGCTGAAACCCCAACAATTATTTGAACTTTAGGCTGAACAGTGTTCGTATGGGTGCTGGTTAAAAAAAAATAGCATTTGTAGGCACTAGCACCAAAACAGCTGTTTATAGGCCCTGTAAAAACACTAGAAAAGCCCTTTTATATTTCCAACTCATGCTCACAAAGTGATAGGAGCACAAGGACCAAATCAGGTTTGCCTGAAATCCGGTCTCTAGTTACGATATCGCAGTAAATGACGCAGCCCTAAGGTAGCCGTTGTAGTAAAGATAATAGTTGTGGTTTGGGGTGCCAAAACCATGAAATAATTATAAGATGAGCTGGGGGGTCTGAAAAGGCTCAGAAATTTCAGCCTAATCTGGTGTTCTTTAACACAAAACTGATATTGCATAGTAGATGAACTTATAGCTTTTTGCCTCAGTTGAAATGCGACCACCATGGTTCATGTCGAATCCATGTCCTTCAAGTCAGCAGCCGAGGCAGCTGCAAAAGTGCATTTTATATACTGTGAAACGGCATAAGGCATACAAAGCTTTGCTCGCCCTTATTTTTCTGATAGTGCTAGAGCTGATCTTTTTCCCCTTAATCTAGCCTACCTTATTTAAGACATGGTTTGTTACAGTATGATAAAAGAACGAGCACTATAGCCAGTAACTCAGTCAAGAAGTATGAACAAGCCCACACTAGTGTTTTTCTCCTTCCATTTGAGCTTATTGGGCCATTTTAACCTCTTTTTCAAAACAGAGGCAGTGGGAGCAGCCGGAATGTGGACCACAACTCGCTGCTCTTCAACAGTTTTTCATAAATGTCGAGGACCGAGACGGCCTGGTATTGGCGAACCCCAACCGACGAGCCGCGTCGTTGGCATCCTGTTGGATGTCGCTGAGCGCATGGCACCGGACTCTGCCCTTCCAGGATGCTGCTCGGGTCTTGTCAGTGTGAGTGATTCCTGAATTGTGTTGTTTTGATCGCTAGTGTAAGTTTCTTCTTTTCATGGTCCATCCACTTTGGTTGAGGACAAACTGTAGGGCTATATATATATATATATATATATATATATATATATATATAATTTGCATTATATACATACTTCTGACTAGCACAGGCCGTGCGACTGTTTGTGACTTGCGACCGAAAAGTGGCTCAAGGTGACAGACTTATACCTATTGCTATGCGGAATTCACGTCTGGTTGCATTGCTATTGCACTGCAAAATAAATTGGGCCTAGTTCTTACGTGTCAGATTAGTTTTGGTGTGTATGACTGCAGTTGCTTTACTGAAAAATTTAGCATTGAGAGACTGAGCCAAAATAGCCACTTTTTCATATGAGTGGCCATTTGCTACTAATTTTTTTGCATGAAGGGTGCTAGTAACAGTTGTGAAGGGGCCTTTAGTCCCAAAGCAACTGGTCTCTTATAGCTACTTTTCTTGAAAAGCAATTGTTTTGGCTCACTCTCTTGTTTCCAGACTTTTAAGAGCAAACCTCATGAGCGCGAAAATGCACGCGGCAGCGACGAGCGATGCTATGAGTGACGAAAATGTTGCATGACTGCAGGTGCAAACTTGGCTGCACTGTGGTCACAATGTGAGTGCAGCATGGCTGCATTTCAAAGGGTACAAAATCAAAAAGCAGCCCATGTACTTATATTGGGGCACACATCTATGAACCTCAGATGGTCAAGGTTAATCCGCACTGGTGACACTGTGGTGTGCTTGTCATATTGTTTTGACTGATTAATCACCACAACTTAAGAACTAATTGGCCAGGTGCTGTGCTTTTTCAAGCAAAGCTTGTTATCAGTTGCATATTTAGGTAGTGGCGGTGGCAGCATTTACGCGAGAAACTGGTTGCCGGCGCATTTTTATAAGTGTGGCCCTTATAGTTGTGCGAGTCACGTGCGTATATGTGTAGGACGTTTTCCAACAATTACCGGTTATCAGCCATTTCAGAAATAGCAATTCTGACCTTTTATAGATGTGACTTTTTATTACGCATTTCAATGTTTCATTTTTGCCTGGGCATTAACTCGTGAGTGTTGTTCTTGCCTGCAGGAACTAAAGTGTTGCACTGCTAAACACGTGGATTCCCAGCGTGGGGAAAAGAAAACATTGGGAGGGATAGAAAAAACAAAAAAAAAAGCTACCATTATCCCAATTCTAAAAAAGGGCGAGGACCATCGTCAGGTTCCAGCTAAAGGCCAATAGCGTTAACTATTTAACTTTGCAAGGTTTTTGAAAAGATGATAAACAGGCGACTGATAAACTTCCTTGAGACAAGTAATCTGTTCGACCCATACCAGTGCGGGTTTAGAGAGGCCAAGTCCACCACTGACCACGTTGGGTCAGGTGAGGACATAACAATCTGCACTTTCCTTTAAATTTCCTGGCGGCAGGGAAAAGGCTCTGAAATTTTTGTGTGCCTTTCTGGTCTTCGTGATGCTCGTTTAGCAATATTCACCCGACTGACCAAATCCATAAATTACATACTACGCCACCATGCGCCACCCATTCTCGCGGTCCATCGGTGTGCGCGGAGAAATTCAGGAAATGACGGAGGCCCAAATCAGTTGCTGTCGTCACGGAGAAATGCCGAAATTCTTCTGAATTTTCCCCAGTCTGTGAATACTGGCTTCGTGGAAATCTGAATTGCATCACACATCATGCAATTGATTCGTTCGCGATCATGTCCGTTGTGTAAATACAGTGTTTCATGCTTCTTTCTGCTTGTTACGTGAGAGCTTGAAACATTACCTTTTTTTCTTTTTCAGAGAGACGTTGCGTTACCTAAACGGACCTTTCTTCCTAAGGACTTCAGTGGCATTGAGAACCGAGCTGCTCCTTACCATCTCCAAATGCAAGTTGCAGCTTTCAAAGATCTCGGCGCCGTTTCTGACAGTCTGTGAGCTCCTGGAAAAGACGGGGTTTAGTCAAGTCGGCGACCCGCTCATGCGGAGGCTCCTGGAGTACACCCCTTCACTACCGCTGCCCGAAGGTAGTTGTTTTTTACTAATGCTGATCAACTGCCGCTCCCACAGAAGTAAGAGGCAGGTGCCAGATAAAAAAATGCAAAGGTCTATGCTGATACGCATGCTCCTCTTCCTTCAACTTTCTTTTTGCCTTTCATCTTACATTGACAGGAGGTTGAACTAGACGTCTTAAAGGATAGTTAAAAAAGTACCAACAGGATTTTGAGGCCTCGCAAAAGGGACATCTCAAGAGCTGTCATGTGGGTAAGATGAGTAAAGTGCGCGTCGTCATTTTGCTCGCGGAGAACATGGATAGTTATTGCAAGCTTGCGGCCCTTTGTTATCAACAAGATCAAGTCGCCACACTGCTTAAAGAACACAAAGAGCCTCCCGATTCGATTCGCGTTCACCAAGAAAGCTTTAATGATGCAGGACCATTTTTCTGAACAGATCCGCGCATGGGATGCAGAACTGGAGAAGTCCAGTCGAAACGTTTGTCTTCTTGTAGAGAGTTCTGCGCACCACATCGTTAGCCACTTGAAAAAGGGCAAGTATCGAGTTTTTGCCAACCACTCAACACTGCAGCAAGATCGCAGCCCCTTAACTAAGGTATCATCAATGCCTTTAAGGTCGGATAAAGGCGATGTTTGGTGCAGCGGCTCCTGGTAAACCTTCGAAGTGGGGGGTCGAACTGAGAATTGACTTCTTCGGAACCATCCAAAAAAATAACTGGACCATGGAATGATCTGAAAAAACCACAGGCATAAACTGCCTTGGTAAAGTAGTTTATGGAAAATTGTGTGCATGTGGTTGAGTCCTAAAGTTTCGTATTTCGGGAAGTGACCGTCAGCTGGCGCGGGCAGCTACGTGACCTTTGCTCGCTGTGTGCTTATCAGCTGCGGTGTCTCAATACTCACACCGTTCACGAACTCCGCTGTAGTGCACAGATAATTTTTAAAAAACTGGGAACGTGCTATGCACGAATAGAAAAACAATGCGGCGCACAGGATTGCGCAAAAGGGGGAAGGGGGAGGGAGCGACCCGAAGTGCCCCGGGGGGATCGGCTTAAGAAATAAAAATGAAGAGATCCAATGGGCGAAGAGGCGCGATGTGTCGTTGAAAGGGACTGCCACGGATGAATGTAGGTGGTGCGTTTAATACGCGACGGGGGGAGGGGGGGAAGAATCCAAATTTGGCGACTGAAGTTGGAGGTGCGTCGATTATGCGTGTGCATTCATTACGCGAGTAAATACGGTAATGTCTTCCGGTGAGTTCCCATTTTTGATATTATGCTCTTTAAATCGGCTCTGTGATCTTGTGTGCCTGGCAGTTGCCCAAATGTTTGATTTTGATTATTCTTTTGCACTGGAAAGCTATTAGATCATACACGCAATAATGGTGGTAAATTATAATAATCTTTAGTGGTGTTTCCAACCACCATATTAATATTGGGTGTGGCAGTAAACTTTATAATATGAAGAGCTAAAATTACACCAACTGTTTAGTTGAGACTGTTGATTGTTTCAATATATGCCCATATAAATTTTTGCAGGGTATTGAATGAAATTGCAGAAATTTTTGACGAATTGATTTTTCATGCCATACTGAATATCTCGGAAATTTATTCAGATAAGGAAATATAGGTCGGATATCTCCTTCATTTATCAGGTCTGAAAGCATGCGACGCGGATGACCTGCTGTGCCGTCTGGAGTGCTTGCGGTTCTGGCGGCAGGATGCCGTAGTGGAGCGAATCTGCCGCGAACAGCTGTCCACATTTGCACGGCAGGAGCAGGAGGAGCGCAATGAAGAGCGGCGCGATGCGGGCCTAGAAGTGGTGAGGGTGGGCCTCGGTGGGCAGGGCTTTCTCGAACATCTGCTCTGTGTCCTCTACCGGCAGCGGAGGTACCAGGAGTTTTGCGCCGAGGTGAGGGTGACGCTGCAGCTGCAGCCCACCATATTGCACATCGTCGCATGTTGCCAACGGTCGCCAAAATTAGTGATCTCATTGTGACATATAACGTGGCGCCGTATGGTGACATTTCATATGACATTGTCGCTTGTTCAGAGGTGGACTGATGACTGGGGCAGTGCGAAATTATGCGAGCTTGCAATGTTCCAATTCTGGAAGCAGTGCAAAACCACATTTAGTGCAGAAAGCGTTCGGAAAGGAAAAAGATGTGTTTTGCATTCAAGTCATCTTATTCTTGCAATCTTACTTTAGGGGCAAGTTGTGTGCACTCTCTCGAAATGCATCAATTTCTCATGGCATGATTCCAAGTAGCTCAGTGGTACATTCCTGAAAGTAAAATGAAAGAATGTGGTGCTTTGCTCGATTTTCACTTATTAGTGTTAATTATTGTGTAATTACAATACTAATTAGTATCTTGTAATCAGTAGGCTTCAATCTTTGTATAAAAAGAAACAAATATTAGGCTCGGAACACACTAGCAGTATGTTTCTTGCTTGCACTCATCTTTATCAAAGAAAATAAAAAAGGAAAACCTTCTTGAATCAGATCCTGAAACGTGGCACATCGTATGATTATCAAATGTAATAGTGTCTTTAGCAAAGTGATCCTTTTGAGCAATACGCTGGTCAATGAAGCTAAACGAGTGTTACTTGTCTACTGGGTAGATCTCCACAAATATGCATACGCAGGTCAATGAAGCTAAACGAGTGTTACTTGTCCACTGGGTAGATCTCCACAAATATGCACACAGCATTTCAAGCCACTTAAAAAAAGAAAACGTGCAGTGTGTGACGTGCCTGCAAAGTTGATGTGTACAACTGTACACAAAGCACCTGAAGGGGTTAAGGGACCCGTGAGTTTTTTATAAGACAGGGCTGGACACACGGCCGAAGCAATCTTGCATCACGCTGTTTATGTTTAATGCGTAATTCTCGACGCATTTAAGTTGAACCGTACTAACCTGTGTTACGCTGAAATGATGATCGCGCGACTGTTTTTTCCCATTATGTTCGTTTTGCGTCTTCTCAGCGGTCTTACTCGTCCATTTCCCGTTCTCCTCCGCAGACGTTGAGGTTTTCTTGTCACGAAGGGGTACAGCTGGTGAGGGGTCTGACACAGCGGCCCAACGATCCCGAGCGTGCCGACGTGGCCGAAGCCCTCGCCCACGTGTTTCTGGTTCGGGACATGCTGTTGAACTCGCCGTTCTGCTGCACCCGTGAACTCATGGGGCTCTGGTGCCGGCTGCAAATGATACAGGACTACACGTTGCCGGAGGTGGCGGAGGCTGCGCTGCGCCTGCTGTTGCCGTATGCAGGGAACAGTGCGCAGTTCTACCTCTTCTGCGATGTCCTGTGGGAGCATGTGAGTGGCTCTCGCTCGTCCCCTCTTCTTTTGGGGGGAACACTGGTCTTAGAAATTTGAAATATCGTGGGAAAAAAAAACTATTGTAGTATTCCTGTAAAATACAGGAATTGCCCATATTTTGTCCAAGTTGTTTGCATCTTAGATCAATGTTTCAGCCCCAACAGCAATTTATATCGCCAAGAAAAGCTATAGAATATTTGTAGAGAAAAGGCACAAAAAATGGGCTCAATTAGGGGGGGGGGGACACGGGTCTTAGAAGTCCGAAAATTGCAAAAAAATCGAGTTTTTGAAGCTGACATTTTCGGAATCAGTACCTACTTCTGCGCTTATCTGAGAAGTTTATAGTTTCTCGCGTCATTATTTCTAGTGCAAAATCAATTTGTAACACCCCCGTGAGATGAATGTGAGTGCAAATACAGTCAAGCCCGCTTATAACAAACCTGAGCGTGATGCAGCACCCGTTCGCTGCATCTTGAAGTTCGTAGTAAAATAAACACAGCTTTTAAAAAAAGTTGTGCGTGAAAACACAAACTTTTTTTTGCCCCAAAAAGTCCGTGATGCACGTGTTTCGAATAGCACAAGCGATAAGGTGGTCTCGAGTTCATTTAAGGGGCGCTCGTTCGCCGAGGCTCATGGCATAAGCTGCATGAGGCACTGACTCCAAAGTTTCGTCGTTCTCGCAATCCGATTCCTCCAAATCGCACTCGCCACGCACTTCATTCGCAATGCCCTAATCCATGCACGGTTCTGCAGTGTCGGCATCGCCATCAGCCGTAATTAAACCATCGCAGCAAATGTCCCACCCACTTTCCCAGGTCGGAGCCGACGACGTGCTGTCACAAATCGCTGCCGCAGTGGTCCTGTTCGGAAGCTTCAGGCTCGGCTTCGGGCCCGACGTCGACGAAGTCGGCCTCGCGAAAACAGTTTTGCGCGCATGTAGCCGTCACCACCGCCCACGAAATGTTCACTATCTCCACAGCTGCATTTGGGACGCCCGAAGCGGCAAGTTGGCTGCCAGGTGGTCAACGGCTATCAGCAAGCGCTCCGCAACGTGGCACCTAACGCGCGGATTACGCTTAAGCCAAGTGGTCACACTTTCGATGTTTTGTTGAGCGGCAGGAAAAAGCGTGCTAGTCCTCCCGTCGGCCACCATGACCACACAAGCACACCCAGAGCGAGCAAGACTCGCACACGCGACACACATGCCAGAACGGGTGGAACAGCTGTGGGCCCGTTTCCAGTCAGAAAACAAAACTAATTCAAGCCAGAGTGGCGGGCGTCGCGGAGCAGTGGAGACGGGCGAAGGGGTTGTGATCAAGAGGGGGAGAGCAGACTTGCGAGAGAAGGGCAAGGAGTTGCTATAAAGAAAGGGGAGGATGCGGCGGGAGGGCGACCTTGAAAACCAAAACACATGGGAAGGAGGAAGGTTGGGTAGCTTGCTTGAAAGGTCTGCGGAACTCGCACGTAGAAAAACTTGGGTAGCTTGCTTGAAAGGTCTGCGGAACTCGCACGTAGAAAAACTTGGAAAGAGTGCATGGCCGCTTGAATTGGTGCGCGCGGCGGTGTTCAAAAAATCGGCGGCCGTGGTCAAAAATCGTTTAGTTGCGCCGGCGGGTTTGCGTGGCCTCACTAACTTCGATATTTCGCAATTCGTTCTGCGCAAATTAACAGCTGTTTTTGCGCTTCCGCACGTGCGCGGAAGGCATGCTGAGTTGAGTGCGAAGTGAGCCAGAACAAGTCCTGAACATGAAACGAATCGCAAATTAGCAGAGTCGGTGGGGTAGCGTATGCGCGTGCACTAGACGCAGACTATCGGATACAGTCGGTGGGCAACGATTTGGCAAATGGTTTGGTCACTCCAGGCCAGTGACGCCAACGACGTCACCAGCGATCAAAAACAGGATAGGTGGCCGACTGGTCTTTGAAAGATCGGTGTCAGTGTGAAAACACGGGCCTTGTCTGGCGATGCGGGGTGCTCAGAGTAGCGGGGGTACAAAGGACGGAGGGGTGGGTAACAAAAGCAGACGGAGAGAGCGGCAACTAGAGGGGCAGGGAGGCAGGGTCGGCGTTTAACAATAAGAATGTATGGGCACATCGCCGATGCCTGATCGGTGGTCGAAATTGGTTTCCTGGGAAGACGGCAGACCGCTTACTCCGTTCGCTGTAACCGATCAGCGGGGCTCTTTGTTGTAAGTGCAATTTTGTTCCATTAAACCAATGTTTATGGACAATGTATAACGAACATTGAATAATGTATAACGAGGATGGCGAACTCGCGGTGGTCAATTGCGGTCGCCGAGTCACCGGTGTAGGCCTACCGTAATTATTCGAATCTAACGCGCACCTTTTTCCCAGTTAAGGGGGCACTTCGGGACCGGAAATCAGCCAAAAAGTCGAGTTTTCGCGGACCTTCTTTTCGCGTTCCCGACATCATTGAGCACCTATTTACAAAATTTCATAGCCGAATACCATCAACTTTTATCGTTATTCAACTTTAAAAAACCGAAAACGGGCGTCCTGCCCTTTAAACCTTTAAATTGAGGGCGAATAGCGCAGGTTTCGGCTCTACGATACGCGGGAACTACGCGCTCGATCGGCGCCATTTTGGTCTTGTTTGAAAGAACGCGTTTTCAGCTGTTTTTTTTATTCAGAAAGCAACATTGAGCGTTTCCCCGGCTCGAAAAACGGGGCCTCAAAGACGAAGAGCCGCGCTCACTGCCATTGGCTAAACGGCGCACGTGACTGAAATGGCGCTTTCCGGTTGGCTGGAAGCTCGCGGCTTGCGCCTGCATACGCGACCCGACGCCATTTTGAAAGGGTTACCGCTGTGACGCCTCGAAATCGGCAGAGCACTCTGAAGCTTCTGATCGTATCGCCATGCCTGGAAACGCAAAAAAGTATCGGACCGTGCACGCATTTGGTCGCAGGAAACGCAAAGGTCGTGGGAGAAAGTCTACGAAGTCATCAGAGCCCTTGGTTGACTCCGACGAACGATGTGTCGACGCTCCGCGGCCGTTCAGCGATGGTGCGACCGAGCGCGTTGCCTCCGACGACGATGACGGTGAAGCGAACTCCGGACGACTACGAATCGACGCCAAGGTGGTGACAAACGCCGAAGTTGAAGAAAATCATGCCCGGGAGAAAGCGACGCTCGACCGGCTTTCATCGGCGCCAGCAACTGCACGGAAAATTGACTTTTTCACCGCGAGTTGTAGCGAGGCAACCGCACAGGACTCGGACCACGCTGCTCCTTATCTGCTTATGCATCTAGATATCCTAAACGCGATAATGGGTGCCTTGTGTTGCAAAGCCTGCCACGGACCGGCTACGATCGTCAGAGGGGATCGGGACTACGGACTTGCCGTGAAAGTGCTAGTGCAGTGTGAAAGGTGCGGCGAGATCGCGAATGAATGGACTTCGCCCCGCGCGAACGGCACGAAAACGTGCAATCCGTTTGAAGTAAATCTTCTCGCTTCGAGGGCGATGGTGGCTACCGGCAACGGCCAAACGAAAATGAACGATATTTTCGCAACAATGGGCATCTCACACCGCGGTATGCACCACAAGACGTTTCAGCGGCATTTGAAGAACACGCTGGCACCCGCTGCAACGCGAGCGGCTGAGTCCGCTATGAGCGAATGTGCGGAAAAGGTTAGAACAATTTATGATGACTTGTGCTTCGGCCACCGGGGCAATATTGCCGTTAGCTACGACGGCACGTGGAAGACGCGAGGCCATTCTTCCCACATCGGCGTGGGCACAGTTATCGAATTATTTAGTGGCTACGTGTTGGACTACGTCGTTCTTTCCAACTTTTGCCTAGGCTGCGAGGTGGGCCCAAAGCCTAGTAGTGAGGGCTATCAAGAATGGAAGGCTAACCACAAATGCCAAAAAAATACGAACAGCAAAGCGGGGCAAATGGAAGTGGAGGCGGCTCTAATTCTATTTCAGAGGTCGCTTGAACGGCATGGCCTGCGCTACACAACTATGCTGTCTGATGGAGACTCTAGGACATTTTGCGCCATACAAGACGCCAAGGTGTATGGTTACATTGACGTGCAGAAGGAAGACTGTATTAATCATGTACAGAACGGATGGGCACCGCATTGAGAAACCTGGTGCAGAAACAAAAGTGCGATGGGAAAAGAGGCCTTGGTGGGAAAGGCAGGCTCACAGGTGAGCTGATCACCAGGCTGAGCACATATTATGGCCGGGCTCTGAAATCGCATGAAGGTGACGTGGGCGAGATGCAAAAGGCTGTGATGGCCACATACCGCCACGTCACCTCCACTGATGAATGCTCGGACCACAGTCTGTGCCCAGCTGGTGAAACTTCATGGTGTCGGCACAATGCCGCAAAAGCAAAGGGTGAGCCCGACCCCAGGCATGCCTACAATCTACCGAAAGACGTGGCAGAGGCATTACTACCGGTTTATACCCGGCTTTCGGAAAGAGCCCTGCTTCAGAGGTGCGAACGCGGCAAAACGCAGAACTCCAACGAGAGCCTACATTCGGTAATCTGGAGTTTGGCCCCCCAAGGAGCACCATGCGTCCCTGTTCGCTGTTGAAGCAGCTGTTGCAGAAGCAGTGCTGCGCTTCAACACGGGCAATTTGCTGCAACGGCAATCTTAGGTGAAATGGACATGAATGCGACAAGTACTGGTGCCAGGAGAGCGAGAGAAAAAGACCACCGTCGCAGCATTGTCTCCAACAAGAAAAGAACAGCCTCATTGGAACTCCGGAAGCTAGTGAAGAGGAGGCATGAGCACAGAATGCATTCAGACTATGCTTCTGGTGCGTTTTGAGGTTGTCTTGTTGCATCTTCTGCAATAAAAATGTGTGCCCACGTTTTTTCTCGATTTCTCAAAACGACAATTTTCATGTGCTTCCCATTATGCCGGAGCAATATCTCTTGTTCTATCTGGGTTATCATTACGATTTCTTTTTTGTTTCGAAGATAAATGCAGGGGATGTGTCGTAAAGTAAGTTTTATTGTA